CTTCCAGACTCATTACAGATTATGTTAAACAAGAAAAGTGAATGATATTAGAAGACATCTATAATATATTGAGTAAAAAGAAAAAGTTAGCCACGCCATAGTCCCAACTATTTGGGAGGATGAGGCTGAAGGGTCACTTTAAATCTCTTGAAATCAGAATCTTGAGACAAGGCTTGGGAACAAAGTAAGACCCATCTGAAAAGAAAAGAAAAGAAAAAGTTTATAAAACAAGCAAAATGTGGTGATACATCTCTGTCATCCCAGCACTCTGAGAGGCTGAGTCAGGAGGATCAAAGGTACAAGGCCAGCCTGAGCAATTTAGCCAGACCCTGTCTCAAAAAAAGAAAAAGAGGGCCTGAGGTTGTAGCTCAGTAGTAGAGTGCATGTCTAGCAGGTTCTAGGACCTAGGTTCAAACCCCAGTGCTCCAAAAAAAGAAAAAAATTTGTAAAACAATATGTTCCACATGATCCCAATTATGTTAAAAATTTATAGGTATTTATGGGCCGGGGATTTAGCTCAGTGGTTTCACCGCCTGCTGTGCAAGTGCAAGGACCCGAGTTTAATCCCTGGTGCCAAAAAAAAAAAAAAATTTATAGGAAAATGATTAAAGAGAAATATATATCAAAAAGGTAACATGCCTATAAGAGGGTGATTTTTATTTTGGGGTTTTTTTTGTTTTGTTTCTGCTATTGTTGTTATTTTGTGGTACTGGGGAATGAACAGAACTTGAGGCATCACTTAATGCTGGGCAGGTGTTCTACCACTGAGGTGCATACATCTCCAGCCCCTTTTTTCTTTTTTCGTGGTACTGGGAATTGAACCTAGAACCTTCACACTGAACTACATCACCAGCCTCCCCTCCTTTTCTTTCTTTCTTTCTTTTTTTTTTGGTACCAGGGATCGAACTCAAGACCTTGCACTTTCGAGGCAGGCACGGCACCACTGAGCTAAATCCCCAGCCTCCCCTCCTTTTCCTAAAATTTTGAGACAAGGTCTTGCTAAGTCACTAAGTTGCCTAGGCTGGGCATGAACTTCCTCCTGCCTCATCCTTCCAGAGTGCTGGGATTACAGGAGTGTCCCACCATGCTCAGCTTGATAGCCCTGTACACATACTTTTTTTTTTTGAGATAAGATCTTGTTATGTAGTTTAAGCTAGCCTTGAACACACAGTGGTCCTCCTGCCTCAGCCTCCTGAGTAGGTGGGATTATAGGTATGTGCCATCATGCCTGGATTTTACTGTAATCTTTTGGAATATTTGTTCCAAATGTTTTATAACAGATACAGCATATATTACTTGTTTTAATCTGGAAAAAATGTCATTGTGTACAAGATGTAGGTATTGTCAGGGCACTGTCTAGTGTGGTTTGCCCTGAGGTTCTACCCTGTACTGGAATGGCACTGACAACCAAAATAACATGTGGGGGAGGATTTTCTGAGTAGTGATAAGAACATTCCTGGCAGGGAGAGACTGATAGCTAGAAAGCTGCTGCCTTTGTCCAGGCCTGAGGGCAAGGGTCTCATCCAGGGATAGACGGGAAATCAGCCTCATCTCCCAGGTTCCCGCCCTTCCCCAGCAGCATAGAGTGTGAGGAGAAGGCTCCAGAGCCCGGAGCAGTGCTGTGTGCTCAACTGCAGCCCCTGTTGTTGTTGGCCTCTAGCCTGGGTGAGGGTTCAGGCAGGCTTGAGATTAAGAAAAGGGCTGGCTGGCTGTAAGCTGTCTGCTTCTCTGGATGGTCTTTAGCCCTGTTGAAAAGTTTGTGCCCAAAGGTGATTCTGTTTGGGGGACTCTGCTTTAAGGGAATAATAGCTATGAACACACAGGTTCATTCTTCAGAGTAAGAGTGTTTACTGGGCTTGACCTTGCACCAAAGAGCCTGGGCATTTGGCCTCCATCCACTCCTCTGAGTTGGGTTGTAAGCCTTCTTTGATCCTCATGATCCTTTTCTTTCTTCAACTTTACTGGCCGGATGTGGAATCCCAGGTGGGAGCAGTTCCCTCCTTCCACACAACCAGACCTCATCTCTGGGTTCTCCCTAGGGTGAATGTGGCCCCAGCGTGTCTCTGCCACAAAGCTGCTTTGCAGTGTCCCTGTGTCAGCTGAGACTGAGTGTATCCTTTGAACCATGGCATACCTGGGAGTCAGGTGTCAGGGTACAGTCAAGCACCTTTCACGCTCACTTGGGTGTGTCTGGGCACATGGGAGCACGTCACACTGCTGGTGTCTCCTGTGCCCTCCCTTATCCCTCTCTGACTCTCTCTGAGAAGTCTAGGAGAACAGAGGGTCTACTCTACAGGGGAGGAGCTTTGGACGTGTGCTAGGAATTGGTTTGTTTGTTTTAACCGTTTTTGTTTTTTTACTGGGGATTGAACTCAGGACCTTTGCACTGAGCTTCCCAGGTCTTTTAATTTTTGAGACAGAGTCTTGCTAAGTTACTAAGCTGCTGAGGGTGGGCTTGAATTTATTATCCCCCTGGCTCAGCTTCCTGCCTCAGTCATGTCCCACCACATCTGGCTGTACTAGGAATTCTTTGAGCAGCCTGTTTGGCCACCCCAGTCACATACCATAAGGTGGCTTAGTTGGCCATTTACTCACAATGGTTTTGCTCATGTTCCTTTTTTTATCCTGGGATTGGAATTACACTTCTTTTTTTTTTTTGGAGACAGGGTCTCACTATATAGTCCAAGCTTGCCTTGAGGTCTCCATGTAGCCCAGTCTGGCCTTGAACTTGTCATCCCCTGTCTCATCCTCTTGAGTGCTGGGATTATAGGCATGTCCCACTGTGTTTGGTTACTCATATTTTTTCAATACCATTATTTACATATAATTCACATACCACTCAGATCACTTAAAGTGTATAATTCTTTGGTGTATTCACATAGTTATGCCTTCATCACTACATTCAGCTGTAACACCTCCAACAAAAACCCTATATTCATTAGCAGTCCCTCCCTATTTACAACCTGGCCCTTGGCAACTTCTAATATGCTCTGTGTCTCTATGGATTTGCCTATTTGAAACATTTCATATAAATGGAATCATGGAACATGTGGTCTTTTGTATCTGGCTTCTTTCATTTAGCATGTTTCCAAGGTTGTCCATGCTGTAGCATGAATCAGTACGTCTCCTCTTTTTATGACCAATAATGTTTAAGTATTTGAATATGCCACATTTTGCTTATTTGTTCATCCATTGGTGGACATTTAGATTGTTTTCATGTTTGGCTGGTAGGAAGAATGCTAGCCAGGTATGGTTGTGCATACCTATAATTCCAACTACTCACAAGTTTGAGGCCAGCCTGACCAACTTAGTGAAACCGTCTCTCAAATACAGTGAAATATAGCTCAGAAGTAGAGTACTTGTCTGGTGTGGACCTGCATGGCCCTGGGTTCAATTCTCAAGGGAATTGTTCCCTGGGGAACAACAACAACAAGAAAAGTAATGATTGGCCAGGGATTTAGCTCAGTAGTTCTGCCGCCTGCCTCGCAAGCACAAGGTCCTGAGTTCGATCCCTGGCACCAAAAAAAAAGTAATGCTGCTATAAATACTCATGTACAAGTTTTTGTGTAGATATATGATTTATGATTTTCTCTTGGGTATTTTCCTAGGTGCAAATTGGTCATATGATTGTCTTAACTGTGTGAGGAACTCCTGGACTGTTTTCCAAAGTGGTTGCACCGCTTTACTTCCCATTGGAGCTCCATAACAATTCTAATTCCTCTACATTCTCACCAACATTTGTTATTATCTTTTTTATTATGGCCACCCTAGTGGTATCTCATGAGACTCTGATTTGCATTTCTTTGATTAGTGATGTGTATCTTTTCATGTGCTTATTGGCCATTTTTATATCTGGTTTGGTGAAAAGCCTATTTAGATATTTTGCCCATTTTAAAAATGGGTTACTTATCTTTTTTAGTATTGAGTTATAGAGGTTATTTATATATTTCACATACAAAGCTTTTATCAAATACATGATTTGTAAAAATTTTCTTCCATTCACTTTTCTCCTTCTTGGTAATGTTCTTTAAGGCATGGCAGTTTTTAATTTTGACAATGTCTTTTTGTGGGGAAAACAGGCAGAAATGATGAGAGACAGGCATAGAGCTAAGTTCCCACTACCTCTATTTAGCAGCCATGAATTGGCTTGTAGTAGCTATGGTTGATGACACAAAAATGACTCAATGCAAATAAGGGAGCTATCTATTGGTCAATTGCTTAGGTCCATATAAGCAGCCTGAATTCCGTGAAATAGGTTGGCAAAGCTAACACAGCACATACTCCTGAGGTTGCTTGGAAGATATACTTTGCCCCAGATCTGAGTCCACAACTCTTGTAGTATTTTACCATGCCTGGATTGCTACAAATCATTGAAAGGTTGGCCTTGAAGTCATGCTCCTATAGGCTGAGAATAGTGGCTTGTTGGGAATGGAGCTTAAACCATGCTAGACAGTGACCTCCTCAGGTGCCCATCAATCCCTAGGACAGACAGGGAATCCCCTACTTCCGCTTAGAAATGTAGAAGCATTGTTACCCTGAGGGAACTGGAGAATTCTGATTGGCACTTTCCAGAAATCTAGTCTCATGAAGCAGAAAGCAGCCTTTGCTGACATCTGGCCTTTCTGGGACTCTGGTATTTTTATTTATGAAATGAAGATTTTATCCCCAAGTAGATTCTTATCTTTTAAGGAGAGATGCCTAAGGCTCATAGTTTTGGTCTGTGGAATCTCAGTGTAACCCTGCAAAGACAGGAAACCTGTGGCAGAAGCAGAGGGGGGAGAATTGCTAGCTAGAAAGTGAAACAGCCGCCTCGTTGCATTTGAAGTTCAATTTCTTCATTGCGCTCCTTCTGCCTCAGTCCAGGAAGGGAAAGCTTGCAATTAGGAGTAGTAATTACCCTGGATGACTACCTTGGGAATTGCAAGAGAGAGAACAGGTGAGGGACGGTGCCTGACTGTCTTTCCCCTCCTCCTAAACCATTTCTCTGTCTGTCCTGTCAGCTGCCCAACATGTTCGGAGACCTTCGATCCACATTTATTGCCTTGATGATTGGATCCTACGCCTCCTCAGCAGTCACCTTTCCAGGAATCAAGGTGAGGGTGTGGCCAGTGGGTTTCCAGCACATTTACTCTGTACTAGTGTCTGTGCAATGACTTCTCCAACACTCTCTGATAGAGAGAGAAGTCATCGTTGGCCCTGAGACTGGCCTGCCCCCTCCATCAGGGCAGGATACACCTGGGCACCACAAGCAAGAAAAAGAAAACCACTAAACCACGTGGGACAGGAGACTCAAGAATGTCATTTTAGTGCATGACCCCAGGCTGGGGGTAGGCTCACCTCCAGTTCCAAGCCCCCCTCCCCTCAACCTGTTGTTGTTGAGCTCTTGCTCCCAGTTAGCCTAAAGCACTGCTCTCAGCCAAGTTAGTTCAGTTGTTTCCCTCCCAGGCAGGATTCTGAGCCTGTGGAAGTCACAGAGGGTTAGCATGGAGCAGACATCTCACAGCCCATAGCCTGCCTGTTCCCTCCCAAATCCTATTGTTGTATTGCCTTCAGCAGGGGCTTCTCCCTTCCTAGCAGCGGCACCAAGTCCAGACTGCCTCTCCAGGGGTGTGAGAGGATGCTGCTGGTGAGGAAGGGAGTCACAGCTGTGGCCTGGTCACTGGGAGTCAGGAGAGGAGGCAGGAATCTGGGGCCAGCCATCCCTTGGATTATCCGGGATACTCTTGCTCCTGGGTCATGGAGAGGAGCCCACAAATTCCCCTTCTTCTTTTCAGTGTCTAACTGCTGGCTTCTCTGGACAGCTGAGTAGCTATGTGCCAGGACTTTGGGGACCCTCATATAGGTGCTAGAAATAAATGGTGCTCATGAAAACAGCAACTGCACATTAGTGTTCAGCAGGCTGCCCACATCCTGGCCATGTGCTCAGCACTCTGCCAGAAGCCCCCCACCCCGCACCATAAGGACCAGAGCCAGTGCCACACCCATTTCACAGGCAGCAAAGCCAAACACATTTATTTGTCTGTGCCTGTGTGAGTATTTGGGGAGCACATGCCACATGCACTGGAGAGATGTCTGTGGACAAGGCTAGTGGCTCCTGTCCTTAGGGAGCTGGACTAACAGTAGACAAGCAAATGAATCAAGAAATGTGATCATCTCAGCCAGGACTGTTAACTGTCAGCCAGTGAGACAGGTATGTGATAGTGCCGGGGTGGTCAGCTGAGACCTCGCCAAGATGGTGACATTTGGTCCAAGTTGATGGCACAAAGAGTTAATGACAGGACTAGACAAGTTGGGATTACTGGAACACAGGGTTTCTAATGACCAAACAGCCAGGCCAGTGGTGCTGTGTCTGCTCACACAGCTCAGCTCAGTGGGGCAGGAGCTCCCAGGTCCCCCTGGCTGCTCTAACTTGGCCCCTTTGTACCCCCACCCCCACCCCCCTGTGCCTCTCAGCTCATCTACGACGCGGGAGCCTCCTTCATCATCATCCTTGTGATCTGGGCCGCCTGTTCCGGGCTGGTTTTCCTCAACTGCTTCTTTAACTGGCCACTGGAGCCCTTCCCAGGGCCAGAGGACATGGACTACTCGTAAGTAGGCTCGCTCTCTGCCCCTACCCTCATGCCAGCCAGGGTCCCGTGGCACCAACAGGGACTCTCCCATGGCCTCCAGGGTGAAGATCAAGTTCAGCTGGCTGGGATTTGACCACAAGATTACAGGGAAGCAGTTCTACAAGCAGGTGACCACTGTGGGGCGCCGCCTGAGTGTGGGCAGCTCCATGAGGAGTGCCAAGGAGCAAGCCGCGCTGCAGGAGGGCCACAAGCTGTGCCTGTCCACCGTCGACCTGGAGGTGAAATGCCAGCCAGACACTGCAGGTACCCACTTAGCAGCCCTCACCTTCCAGGCCTGCCTGAGACATTGGCAGGTCATCTGCATCCACACCCCGAGCACTCAGGGGAGCTGCTAGTCCAGATCTGGAGGTTATAGCCCCAGTGCTGTCCTGACTGGAGCCAGTGCTGGTCAAGGCTCTGTGCGGATCATCTCACTAAATTCCCACTTCATCCCAAAAGGGGAGGTGGCAGCACCTGCCCTGTTACAGACAAGCACACTCGATTAAAGCTCAGGAAGGTTGGGCAGTGGTGGCAAGTTTATAGCACCCATGCCGCAGCCAGCTATTTATTATGATGGAAAGCTCTAAAAGATTCGCCATCACTGGGTTAGGGGATTTGCCCAGCTCCAGCACCATGAACCCTACTGGGGCCTGGCCCCTTGGTGGCCCCTTGGCTCCCCCTGCCATCAGGGGAGTGATTTAGTCTGCACGTTGGGCCCCCAGGGGTGGCTGGGCTGTGTGCTCAGCCCTGAGCCCCGCACCCTGTCCCCCCAGCAGCACCCTCATTCATGCACAGCGTGTTTAGCCCCATCCTGCTGCTCAGCCTGGTCACCATGTGCGTCACACAGCTGCGGCTCATCTTCTACATGGGAGCTATGAACAGCATCCTCGAGTTCCTGGTCAGTGGTGACCAGAAGACAGGTAAGTGTCCCCTGAAACTCAGGGCACAATGTCAAGGGAGGGGGCCCAGAGTGCCAGTCACTCCTGCTGGCCGGAGTCGGGTCCCTAGGCACCGCTGGATCCTGTTAGGCTGAGCCAGACCTGCAGGGCTGTGGGATGGCAGCATCTGGGACACTGTTTGCTTGTCTGTTTCATCATAGCCAGCCTGACTGTTCTTTCATGTCCCCCTCAGGGTTTCCTGGTTTAGGAGGGAGGGAAGGACTAAAATAGCCACATGTGTTGAGGGTGTGGGGTATTTATTTTTCAGGGCCCAGGGGAGGGCCAAGGGTGTGTCTGTAATGAAAATACTGCACAGAGCCATGTCCTCCACCTGAGCGCTCCTGGAAAGGCACCAGACCCAGCCCCATACCCAGTCCCCCAGAGACCACAGGCTTGGCACCCAGAGACCCTGGGGGCCAGGCTGAAGACGGTTGTCCTGGTGGAGACTCTGGGGCAGCAGGGCCCACAGTAGGATCTGTGTCCTGAACTGTGAAACTGAGGCTCCCGAGGAGTATGTAATCCAGTTGAGGCTTGTTAACTCCGGGAAACAGAACTGATAACCCACACAAAAACAGCGAGGAAGATCTTGAGCTGACTAGAGATTTTGTTCCTGCAAAGAAAGTCAGAACTTCCCCAGGGCCCAAGCTGAGTCAGCTTTAGTCATCCCGAGCGGGACAAACACACTCGGCAAATCCTTTTTATTGGCAGCCTCACTGGCGTGCAACTTTCCTTTGTTGGTTTACTTGTTTTTACCAAGGGGAAGACACTGTAGGCCTTGTAAGAAACCAAAGCAGTTTTTAACAGGAATAAGAATTCTTGCTTTAACAAAAGGAAAAGATAGCAAAGGGGGAACCCGATAATGCTGGGAGACTGGTGGTGGAGCAAAGTGGAGAAATGTTGAATACCATGTGCAGAAATTCATAATGGCCCAGGGGTGGTGGTAAAAGGGGTGGGCTGGCCCCAGCTACTTAGGACTCTGAGGCAGGAGGATGAAAAGTTCAAGGCCAACCTAGGCAAGTTAACAAGACCTTTTCTAAAATAAAAAATACAGTAAAAAAAAAAAGGCTGGGGATTTAGCTCAGTGGTTTCACTGCCTGCTGTGCAAGCGCAAGGACCTGAGTTCAATCCCCAGTACCAAAAAAAAAAAAAGGCTAGGGGTGTAGTTCATTGGTAGAGTTCCCTGGACGTGATCCCTAGTACCAACCAGGTGGAGGAGGGTGGCCCAAACATGAACGCAGGAGAGGTCCTCAGTGCCCTATTTTTATCTTTATTTATTCCAGTGATGTTCACCCAAATTTCTATCATGGGAATCCATTTTTAAATTTTTTTATTTGTTTGAAGAGATGTAGTCTTACAATGTTGCCCAGGCTGGTCTCGAACTCCTGGGCTCGAGAGATCCTTTTGTCTCAGCTTCCTGAGTAACTGAGACTATAGATGTGTGCTGCCATAGCCAGGAGATCCCTTTTTTAATTAACACACATTAAATTCTGGTGGACATATTTTGGGAAAGCTGATTGATCTTGTGTAAACACCCTGTATTATAAATACTCAGGCCCAGAGAGCTGGAGATGCTGAGGTATGCAAAGGGAGGCAGTCCCTGGCTCTTGCAAGGGTGCCTCCTGCTGTTGGGTCCTGGACTTTGATAAATCAAGTTGTCTGAGAAATCTTGTTGCACAAGAGGAATTTTTTGGGGGGTACTGGGGATCGAACTCAGGACCATTGCGCTTGTGAAGCAGGTGGTGGCACCACTAAGCTAAATCCCTGGCCCCCAAGAGGAATTTTTTCAACTATATCCTACATTCAAAAAGTCAGCCTGAGGGCTGGGGATTTAGCTCAGTGGTTTCGCCGCCTGCTGCGTAAGCGCAAGGACCCGAGTTCAATCCCTGGTACCAAAAAACTCGGGCCGGGGATTTAGCTCAGTGGTTCTGCTGCCTGTCTCAAAAGGACAAGGACCCAAGTTCGATCCCCGGTACCAAAAAAAAAGGCAGCCTGGTGAGGTGGGATACATCTGTAATCCCAGCTATTTAGGAGGCTGAGGCAGGAGGACCACAAGTTCAAGGCCAGCCTGGGAAACTTAGTGAAGCCCTGTCTCAAAATAAAATTAAAAACAATGAAAGAACTGGAGATTTAGCTCAGTGGTAGTGTGTGAAGCTCTGGCATGTGTGAGACCCTGTGTTCCACCTTCAGTATCAGCAAAAAAAAAGAAAAAAAATAGAGGAAACCAGGCCAGGAAGTTTGGTCTGTGGCAGACTGGACACTGGTTTTCCCCATCCTGCTCTTCTGGTACCCTGTATCCACAGCCTTGTTGTCTTCCCAGAAGGGCTGCTATGGGATCAGGGAGCGGCAGGATAGAAGGAGCAGCTCATGCTGTTAGATGTCTTGCCTGGTTCTCCTGGCTGAGGTCTTTGACCTTTTCTTCCCTGAGTGTGGCAGGAGGTGACTGTAACAGAGCAGCATTTTCACAAGGCCACATGGTAGCAAGGACGCTGATGCTGCCAGGCTTCCCACTCAGCACGTTATTTCCCCGTCACAGTGCCCGGCCAGTGACACAGGCCTGACTCACCAGTCTGCTGTGGTAAAGCACCAGCAGGCAGCAGAACGTCACCAGGTGCCTGTGTTGAGCCCTCTCCTTGATTCACTCCCAGGAGCCTGAGCACTTGGTGGGAAGTGGTGTGTGCTGGGCCTGGGGTAGCCTGCCTCCTAAACCCATCTACCTGTAATGGCCGTTACCATTTCTACCACTAACCTCTCTCTTTCTGCTTTTCTCCCTTTGCTCTCTTGCCACAGTGATGGCCACGGGTAAGCAGGGTTTGTGTGTGTGTGTGTGTGTGTGTGTGTGTGTGTGTGTGTGTGTGTGTGAAGGAACATTTCAGTACTTCTAGCCAGTCTGTGCTTAACCCCGAGATTTCTCACCTTGAATTCCTGATATCCCTCTTTGCTTGAATGGTGGGGGTGGGGACAGGGCTACGAACTTCCAGCTGTTTCTCTGAAACCCTCTCGTAAGTTTTAGTCTTACTGAAGATGGAACCCCTTAGGTCAGATTCCTCAGGAGTGGTGCCTTCCTAGTATATTTCTAGCAGCAGAAAACTAATGACCAATCACACACAAAGCCTCAGTCATGGACATTGGTAATTTTGTGGTTCCCAAGTCATAGTGACTTCTTGGAACTTCTGGAAGGAGGAGTTTCCATTGTGACATACTGGATTTCATTAGCCATTTCTGGGAAACAAGGAAAGGATTTGGAGCAGAAAATTGGGTGTCCTGCCCCTTGCTCTGGTTTTGATTTCAGGAAGCCCCGAGACCTTCAGTGACAAGGGGGCTCTGTGGCAGACCCCAGAAGGGCCTGTGGGTATTGGCCCTTTCATATTCCACCCAGCCTGTCCTCCAGGGCCCTGTGCTCAGGGTCCCTATGACACACCATCTTCCTCCCCAGTTGCCCTCTACACCTCCATCTTTGGCGTGCTCCAGCTGCTCTGCCTGCTGACAGCGCCTGTCATCGGCTACATCATGGACTGGAGGCTGAAGGAGTGCGAAGATACCTCTGAGGAGCCTGAGGAGAAAGACAACAACCAGTACGTAGGCAGAGCCCAGCCCCTGGAGGACCACCGAGTCACATGTTAGGCAGACAGGCTGAGTGAGCTCAATTTTATAGGCAGCAGGAAGACCAAGTCGAGCTCAGCACTGCACAATCAGGTCTCCCCCATTCTGTGGAAATTCTTTGGTTGCTAAAGTTTGGGAGGCACTCAGATGTTAATGGGACAAACCAGAGGAAAAACCCATGTAGCCCCAGGATGGCCCTTGGATCCTTGGCACAGGCAGCACCATGGAGCCATCCTAACATTACTTACCTAGAGGGTTTGTTCCACTCAGTGTGTATATATAGTAAGCTGCTACAACCAAGTGTGTTAATAGGTTTGTTGATGATTGTGAGATGAAGCAAGGCTGGGCTCTAAGATCAGAGGATGAGTTAACTGCAATTTTCTATGACTCCACCTTAACATAATAAAGCTGCTATTTACTGTATTAGTCCCAGTGCCAAGCACTTACTACACAATGCCTCAGTTAAGCCCCACAACATCATAAAGAGAAGTGGACTCGTGTTGCGCCCATTCTACAGATGCAGGAACTGAAGTTAAGACTTTGAGTCATTTGCCTGATATCACATAGATAAGTACTGGTGGGCCTGGGACACTCTGCACATCTCTAAGCACTTGGCATTCATTCTTGGGTGCTGTGTGATCCTCCATGGGATATCAGTGTGGGTGGTAAGGCTGGAATCAGTAATAGTTAATTCACAAGGAAATAATTATAGAGAATGCCCTGTTATCTAGGTCAGGTCCTACAGCCAGGAGGTTATTTGTGCCCATCCCTGTTCCATCTGCTGAATATTTATTTTCCTTCCACCCTCTCCTACCCGCCAGGGGGACTCACTCCCTTATTTGGCTTATTAACTGGCTCATTACCAGCTTCCTGCAAGATTTGGGTGAAGCCAATGGTAAAGTGAAGCTTTGCCACACCCTAACTTGGCACATTCTGCTCTTCACTCCCCATCATTTGAGCTCATTTTCTTCACTGAGCCCTGCCGAATGTTGAGGACTGGCTTCTGGTGTCAGAGATCTTCCACTGAGGTTTTCATTCACTGTTCTATCAGGAAGGTGGACCGGGTAGCATTCCTCATGCCCCCTAGCCCTGGCATAGTCCCCAAGATGTGCTGGGGAGTCTTGCACCAGTCCCTATGCTATGGCTCTGAGGCCTGGCTTCTTGGGAGGGCCCCGTACCTCCAGCCGTTATGGTACTCTGTCTCCACAGAGGCGAGAAGAAGAAGCGGGACCGACAGATCCAGAAGATCACTAATGCTATGAGGGCCTTTGCCTTTACAAACCTGCTGCTCGTGGGGTTTGGGGTGACCTGCCTCATTCCCAATCTGCCACTACAGGTGGGTGTTGGGTAAGGAAGAGGCCAGCTGGGGGGTGGGACAACAGGAAGTGTGTGATGTGTCATGGAAGCCATCAACAAAGCCAACGTGACTACATTCATTTAATTTAACCAGCCAGCCAGCCAACCAGATAACCAGCCACCATTCTTTTCCAAGGGCTTGTTGTTGTCTGCCAGGCTTGTGCTGGAAGCAGGGTGAACTATAAGGAATAGGTTGCTTTCCACACAACTCTTCTCCGTGAAGGCACACTGTTCTTGCTCTCTGGGGAACCTTCCATAGCATGAGCACTGCCCTCCCAGGACTGTGTGCAGTAGTTATGTATTTACTTGTTTTGCATTTGGTCAAACAGCTGGAATCTCTGGACATTGGTGGGAGCATTGGCCCCCCTGTTAACAAACATGGCCATAGGAGTTAGGCATGATGGTACATACCTGTAAGCCCAACACTCTTTAGAGGCTGAGTCAGGAAGATCAAAAATTCGAGCCAAGGGCCAGAGATTTAGCTCAGTGGTTTTTCCACCTGCTGTGCAAGCGCAAGGACCCGAGTACTATCCCCAGTACCCAAAAAAAAAAAAAAAAATTGAGCCAAGCCTGGGAAATTTAGCAACTTACCAAGACTTTGTCTCAAAAAAGAATGCCCACAGGCCTCTACCCTGGAGGGTTGGAGAAGCTGGAGAAAGACTGTGATCATGGCTTGGGATCTTGAGTCAAAGGCTTAATTCCTTTGCATAAGATTTCTGATATTTGTGAGAGATTATAAGGAGGACTTTGTCACCTGCCTGGCTCCACTCTTTGGTCCGTGAGTATTCTAGTACTGTAGTAGATGTCGGCCCAGGCCCCAAGTTTACTTACTCTGAAGGGATACAAGTGATAGCGTTGCTTCCAGATGAGTGTGGCCCAAGCCCAGATGGACGAGCCCAGGAGGAAGGCAGCAGGGCCTCCCTGTTTACAAGTGGCCAGGTGTTGAGTTGCATTGAGTACACAAGAATGCACACCCACAGGTCTATTGTGTATGCAGCGACACTGAGCACACAGAGCCGTGGGAGACTTGTGACAGTTCTAGGTGGGAAGGTCATTGCTTCCCAAGTGTTCCTCCGTGGCCTCCTAGCTGCCCTGTCTGAAGAGCGGCAGACCCTTTCCCTGATCATCTTGGCCAGTGGAGGAGTAATGCTCAGTGGGGAATAGCCATCTGCTTTTTGTTCTATTGAGTTCTTATTGGAGAAGAAGTTAGGAAAAGGCAGCAAGGAACCTGGAATGGAAAGGAGCCTGCACAAGTATGTGCATGCATGGGTGTACACATTTAGACACAGTGGTCTTCAACCCTGGCAGGAATAGCTCCTACCCCTTCCACCACCCACATTCCTGAGAGCAGGTCCTTAGCTGCCGAGCAAGACGGCAGTGCTGTGTACAGAAGTACAAGCACAGGACTCTGGCGGCAAACTCTGGGCCTCTCAGGGAGTACTAACAAGGGCTCCCAGAGCTTTCTAAGCCTGCAGAGAGCGTCCCAGAAAGGGACCCTCCTGGAGACAACCAGACAGCTTTGCTAGGGAGGTGCAAAGGAAGGCACCTGCCAAGGGGGCCTGGGCAAACAGGCGGGAGGTCTCCGGTGAGTCCTGGATGGGGAGAGATTGGAGGTCAAGGTCATGATTGGCAACCTACTCTGCTGTACAGATACATATTTATCTGTAGAAGATTAGAAGGCTGGTAAGAAAGGTCCTGACCTGTAGTATTTGCAGATGTTAGCTTGATGTGGTGGCATATGCCTGTCATCTCAGCACTCAGGAGGCAGAGGCAGGAGGATCGCCATGAGTTCAAGGCCAGCCTAAACTATATAGTGAGACCCTGTCTCAAACAAACAAACAAAAAAGCATTTGCAGATATCTATAATGGCATCGTGTCATCATAGCTGACTCAAAGACCCGTGATATGACATCGCAGGATGGTAACTCACCATCATGCGGTTATTTCCACCTGGCAAATAGTACACATAAAACACCTTTAGAGCACAGACAGTAGTAAAACATAGTAAGAGAATTAGAAAGTAATAAGTTTTGGGTATTCATGACATTTATTTTAATCTACTTAATTACAAGTTTATGTACTTTGATTTTTCAGCTCTTTTTTTATTTTGGTACCAGGGATCGAACTCGGGATCTTGTGCTTTCAAGGCAGGCAGTGGAACCACTGGAGCTAAATCTCCAGTTTATGTAATTTAATTTTTTTTTTTTTGGTACCAGGGATCAAACTCGGGACCTTGCACTTGCGAGGCAGGTGGCGGAACCACTGAGCTAAATCCCCGGCCCCGTAATTTAATTTTTTTTTTTTTTTTGTAATTTAGTTTTTAATAATGACTATTAACAACTGGCTAAAAAATTGCTAAAACTTCAGCAGTTGGCTCTGGAGGCAACTCCAGGTTGCTGCTACTCCTATAACAAGGTATGGGCCATGGCCAACTTCTACTCACACTGGTCTCCCTTCTTCAGATCTTCTCCTTTGTCCTGCACACGATCGTGCGAGGATTCATCCACTCAGCTGTTGGGGGCCTGTACGCTGCTGTGTGAGTCTTCGAAGCTTCCAGTGGTCTGGTGGACTGGGGGAGGCTGTGACCAGGGAGTTGGGACCAAGACCTGAGGCTGGACCATCCTGCCCTGGTAGTTTGCCTTCCTGCATCAGGGCACAGATGCCACAGTTTCTGCTGGGTGTATCAGGGGAAGGCCATACCTGGCAGGAGGTTGGTCAGGGTGCAGACAGTTGAGTGCCCACGAGCCTTGGCACTTAACACGAAGTCAGTTCCCTCAGCCAGGCTCAGTGCCCCCTGGATGGCACATTAGGGCCTTGGGGCCCCTGCTCAGCCAGCCCTGGGGCTGTCCCAGGCTGCTCACTGGAAAGGACAGGATTGGGTTCTGACTGCCTGGAGCTAAATGCTGAGGTTCAAATAGCTCTCAATAGGGACAGGGACATGTATAACTGAGCCCAGAATATACCAACCTGTCCTAACCCAGGGCCCCAGAGGCCATCATGGCTTTCTCGGGCCGTGGCTAAAATGAAACCTACGTGTTTTTCTAAGACGCTACACAGTGGTTCCTCCTTCTTTGGCCCCAAGTCTGGAACCCACATGCCATCACCCAGTGTCTCTGACTGAGAGAGTGACTTATTCCTTGCAGGGCGCCTCTTCCCGCACCTGGGGCAGCAGAGTCTCCTGTTTGTTGATATTTAGCCCAGAGCTCCCTCCCTGTCCCAGCAGCATCCCATGGGGGTCATTCCAGGTCCACCCCTCCCACACCCCTGGCCTAGAGGAAGTTGTGGCTGCCCTGGCAGGCTGTGCGAGAGGCAAGCAAGAGCTGCGATGCTGAGTTTCCGTGATTGCACAATGCTCCCCTGGAGGACAGCAGAGCAGAGCCAGCCTCCAACCTGCTCCCTGGGCCTGTTTCCCAAGCCACAGACTCCCGCTGGCACCATACTTTCCACACAAATTGGCCAGACACCCATAGGCCCCAGACACATCTTGTGGAGTGGGGCGTGGGCTTTCCCAGAGTCTGGGGCCTCGGGCTGGTCCAAAAGAGAAATTGCAGAACTGCTCAGCAATTAATCCAGAGGCCAGCATCCAGCCATCCTGAGATTATTCCTGTTTTTTCCTTCGGGGCCCCAAGGTGCAGCACTGGGCCACCAGCTTACCTGGGCCAGGCCGAGGCTGAGGCTGGGTGTGGGAAGTCCAAAAGTGACACCAGCTGACACAGGTCTTGATTGCTCCCACAGGTACCCCTCCACCCAGTTTGGAAGCCTCACAGGACTGCAGTCTCTGATCAGCGCGCTCTTTGCCCTCCTGCAACAGCCACTCTTTCTGGCCATGATGGGTCCCCTCCAGGGAGACCCTCTGTGGGTAAGAAGGGTCAAGGGACAGTGGTCATGGCCATCTGCTCCACTCTGATGGGAGCTGGGAGGCCATCTCACTCAGGGGGCTTCAGAGTCCTGAGGACAGGTAGTTTCCAAATTTTGATTAGGTCTGAGTCATAGTCCCCTTGTGAATGGTGACTAGGCAGGAGAAAAATGACCTCTCTGGACCTGATTTTGGGATGAACAGAAGAGAGTTCCTAACCAAGAAAAGTGGCACATACATGTAATGCTAGCTACTTGGGAGGCTGAGGCATCAGGATTGCAAGTTTGAGTCCAGCCTGGGCAATTTAGCGAGACCCTAAAAATAAAAGGGGCTGGGGATTTAGCTCAGTGGTTCCGCTGCCTGCCTCGCAAGCACAAGGTCCCGAGTTCAATCCCTGGTACCAAAAAAAAAGGGCTAGAAATGTAGTTCAGCATTCCCTGGGTTTAATCCTCAGTACTGGGTGGTGGTGAGGGGAGTTCTTGTCCTAGACCTTGCCAAGGGCCAGGATTCTTAACTAGCTACCTGCTGTGTCATCAGTGCCAGTGCCACCTCTGGCACTAGATCAGCAGGCCTCACATGGAGGGGCTAGGACCTGAGGGGCTGCTGGATGGTCTATGGAGAACCAGAAATTCAGTTGGATACTAGAATATGGACCAACAGGCCCTGGGACACATTGAACCTTCCTGGTTCATTTCCCCCTTTCTCCCTTCCCCACACCTGACTCTGCGTGTGTGTGTGTGTGTGTGTGTGTGTGTGTGTGTGTGTGTGTGTGTGTGTGTGTGTGTGTGTGTGTGTGTGTGTGTGTGTGTGTAGGCCCTGCACAGCCCCCACACCCTGTGATGGCTGCTCCTCCCTGTCCCCAGGTGAATGTGGGGCTGCTAATCGTGAGCATGCTGGGCTTCTGCCTGCCCCTCTACCTGGTCTGCTACCGGCGCCAGCTGGAGAAGCAGCTGCAGCAGAAGAGGGAAGACAGCAAACTTTTCCTCAAGATCAATGGCTCATCCAACCGGGAGGCCTTCGTGTAGCACCACTGGCTCAGAACTGGCCTCCTGTGCGTGCTTCAGTGACTAGCGATGTCCTCCTTCCCACCCCAGAGGACCCTGCACACTCCCAGGATTCTCTCCTTCACCATGTCAGAGACCATGATCCCTCCAGGGCCCTGGTCCTGGCTTGGAGCTCTGCAGTGGAAGGACAGGAGAAGGCCCAGGATGGGAGATTTTGCTGGACATAGGACAGCCCTGGATCTGCTCTGCCACCCCCAAGGGATCCTGGGGCCTTGGGTCTCCATGGTGCCTGCAGGAGGAGCCAAGGGCACCCCCAGCAGGCAGGCTCTGTCCCTTAAGGCTCCAGATTCTGCCTCTTGCTAAAGAAGAGGGACCTGCTGTCCACTACCCTCCACCTGCCTCTCAGCTGCATGCCCACCGACCACGCCTACCTGAGGACAAAGGCTTGCAGTGTCTGCACCCCCCTCGCCTGGCCCTCACCTCCTCCCCTGGCCAGTCTGCAGCTGCCTGAGGAAGGAAGGACCCGCTTCCTGTTGTTGGTGCTAACCCCTTTGTAATCCCACCCCCCTGTGGCCTGTCCACGCCCGTCTTCTCATGTGAAGCCTGTGGAGAAGCCCTCCTGGCTCACAGCCTGGAGAGGGGATGGAGGCAATAGGGTCACAAACAAAGCCACAGAAGCCATGGACACAGCTGATCGGTTGTCCCCCACCTCCTCCCTCAGGGTGGGTGGAGGGAGCACTTTTCCACTGCCACCCTCGGTCCAGACTTCGACCTGATGGGAATTAAAGGGGCACCACCAGGCCGTTCCCTCCCCCAACACACACAGCTGTTTCCATGGGGCTGACAGATATAGAAGTCCAGGCCTGTACAGGGAGGTGGATTGGTGAGAAGCTGAGGGGGGGGTGTGGGGAGGGGGATGTGTGTGTACATGTGGTATGTGTGAGGTGGGTGGGCTCTAGGGTCTGCCCTTATCCCCACCAACCAGCCAGGCCTGTGTGCCCAGAGCCAGCCTTGCCTCCTCCTGGTCAGCATCTTGTATTGGCCATGTAGCTACAGCGCTCCCTGCTGGCTGAGTCCCCCAGGGTCTGAAGCTGTTTGGGTGGGAGAGGCCAGGCCTGCCTTGCTCACCAATCTCCCCACCTTGTCTCCCCTAGGAAATGTGTCTGAGACCTCCTGGGTGCTCAGAGCAGTGGGTTGATTTTTAGGTCTTTAGTTTTTCTTTTAAGTTTTATCAGACTTCTTTTTATAAAGCAATAAATCCATTTTCCTCCTGGCAAGGGATTCCCCTCCTAGCATATCAATTGACAGCTCTATGTACCTGTTTTGAGCTCAGGAGGGAAAGGCAGAATGAGCTATTCTGCCACTGACCAGCCCTAACCATACCCATCATATCCCTTGTCAAGGGCCAGGATTCTCAACTAACTACCTGCTGTGTCATCAGGGCCAGTCCCACCAGCAGGTCTCACATGGAAGGCCTAGGACCTGAGGGCTGCTGGGTGGTCTATGGAGAACCAGAAAATCAGTTGGGTGCTAGAATATGGTCCTGAGTAGGGAGGGGCTGAGCCAGGAAAAGACATTATACCTCTTCCCCAGATAAATTGGGCTTTGCAGAAATGTGGGCCACCCCTCTGGGGACTGTACCAGCCAAGCAGACCAACCCTGGCCCCTCACTGCCTACACGGATTTCCTGTTGCTTCCCCACAACCCTAGGGGCCTTCCTGAGTATAGGACACAGGGTGACCCCAGAGAACAGCAGGATGTGGTGGGGGACAGAGAAGAAGAGGGGGAGCACCTAGGCCAAATTTGAGCTCCCCAGTAACAGTCAACCACTGAGTCTCCTGGCCTCAGTGTAGCACTAGGCTCCTGAGTCTCCTAATATTTTTAAATATTAAAAATCACAACCCAAAAAGTAATGAACAGGGAGTGCAGGTCAGTCAGTAGTGGAGTGCATGTTTAGCATGAGCATGGCTCCGGGTCCCATCCTCAACACCAGAAGAGACCCAAATAACAACAAAACAAAATTAAGCAGGGAATGGTGGAGCATGCCTGTAATCTCAGCACTCAAGAGGCTGAGGCAGGAGGATCACTGCAAGTTCAAGACCAGCCTGGACTACATGGCGAGACCCTGTCTCAAAAAACAAACAGAGCCCTGGGGATTTAGCTCCGTGGTTCTGGTGCTTGCTTCTCAAGCACAAGGTCCCGAGCTCGATCCCCGGTACAAAAAAAAAAAAAAACCTTTGTATGAACATTTTCCAAACCATTCCACAGAGCACTGATTTTGATGTGTTAATGGTCATTCTGGTTTTAAAACTTCATAGCCAAATTTAGGATGCTGAGTTAAAGTCAAGCCCATTTTGCAGCAAGCACTCAGCACTTTCTCTATAATCATGAATGCTGTGCCTGTCCAAAAAAAAGGTGTGGTGTGCTACCCAGGTACCCCCCACATGTGTGGCCTCATGGCTACCTGTCACAGAAGCTCCTGGGCTATTGAGCTTTCTTCTGACTGGTGATTCTGGTCCCTCCAGAGTTTGAGACTCACTCCTGAACAGGAAGACAGTTGGGAAACACTGACTGCCAAGTCCCTTCTAACCTAGGAACATATCTTGAGGATGGGCAGACAGCCTTGCTGTCCCCAGCAGCACCTGGGCCTCACCACCCTACCATTAGATGGAGATGCTGCTGCCATTGAGAAACTAGAAGTGAGGGTTGGAAACAGTCTATGGCCAACTGTGTGGGAGCAGTGGCATGAGAACAGGGGCCAGGTACAGAGGCTGTAGAAAGCCAGATGGGTCAGGTATCCCCTAATCAGGAGCTGGTCACTGCACCCTGATTTCCTACGGAGTTAACAGATTAGAATCATGGGAACAATCTAGGGTAAATAAATACCATCATCTCCATTTTACAGTTGGCAGAACTGAGGCCCAGAGAGGTGAAGTAACTTGCCTAAGGTTAGAACTAGGACTCACGTGTGGGTCTGAAATCATTGGAGCACCCAAAGCACTGTAGACCAGGGAATGCCATTTGGAGCAGCAGCTCCAGGGTCACCCAGGCCTCCTCAGCAGGGCGCCAATACCTAGGGAAGGACAGTAAGGTCAGACACCCATTTCTTGGAGCCAAAGCTTCCTCAGGCTGGGGTGAGCTCTGAGTGTCATTTGGCCCCTGCAGGATGATGAGTACTTGGAGGAGCAATTTCCTGGTCACCCCATCCTCAAGGAGTGCCTGAGATGGGACCAGATCACAGGCTAATTACAGGAAAGGGACGCCAGTGGCCAGAGCCATCTCTTCTCCATCCCCCACTCCCATCCTCCCTAGACTCTGGGCCCAGCCCCCCTTTGTGATTGTTTCCTGCAGTTCCTCCAGGTCTCTGCCTGCAGCTCCCTATGCTGGGCCCTGTCCATAGAGAAGGTTCCAGCCCTCATAAAGGCCAAGGAGAAGGTGCAGCCCTAAGGGACTCCTTCCTGTCTTGTCTCTCTCCCTGTCCTTCCTATACCCAGCTTCCTGGTCAAAAGAACTTCTGTGCAAACCCTCCTTGTGTCCTTGCATGGCCTAGGCAGTCTGAGGAGGATCCCACTCTGCTCATGTCCCCAAGGACTCTGAAAGTAGGGGCACATCCAACACTGGGGTCTTATGGGCAGGACAGTCCCAGACAGTAGCACAAACACCACCAGCTAAGTGGAGGTTTTGATGCACTTGCATGTCAGCGGCTGTGAACTAGAGCAGTACACAGCTGGGGGTCGATGCTGAGGGAGAGGAGCTGTGGTACAGGGCCTGCACCCTCTTCTCGATAGAATTGGGCTCAGGCACCTTGCAGCAGCAGCTCCTTCCCCCAAGGAGGGGTACAGTGGTTGTCACGGGCCCTTAAGGCAGCAAGGTGCCTCATCCGTGCCAATGACCAGGAGCCCAGCTGAAGGGTACTAGCCCACTTTCCTCAAATACTGACTGGGCGGAGAGGTTTAAGAGCCTTCATCATCCTCAGGCTGCAGCCCTCTCCAGGGATGCAGGGTCAGGGCGCACATGTGGGCTCCATGAGCCTGGTTCCCCCAGCCCTGCCTCACTCTCAGCCTTGGGCTGTGGACAGCTTCCCATGTCAAGGAAGTGTGGAATCCTCCATGAGGGTGGCCTGCCCTGGCTCTGGCCTGTCCCTGCCAGCATAGAGCCACCACCTGTGTCCCTAGTCAGTGGAGTTAATCATTCTCATCCTCCTGGGGAGATCCAAGATGAACCTGGGCCCTGGCAGCTCCCTGACCTTGACCTTTGGCAGAGGAAGGCTCCATCTCTGCATATGGAGGGACAGCAAAGGAAGAGCAAAGGTTGGAGACCCTACCATATATTCTTTTGGCGTCCTTAGACAAGTCATAAACCTCAGTTTCCTTATCTGTAGAATGGACATAGCAATACCCTCATAGTGCTGCTAAGTGAACATACAAGTAGCACATGTGTACAATAGTATGGCTGTTAACAGGCATTTAGCTATAGTGGCATTGTTTTCACTGCCCTGGAAGAGAGCAGGTAGCATGGAAACAAGGCATCCCCCCCAGTATGACAGGACTCCTACTTAAGGTGTGTCTCACTGTGGACTTGTGGCCAAGTAAAAGAAGAAAGAGAGGTCTGCTCCTGCTGGTCCTGTTCTCCTCAAAACCCATCCCTCAGCAGAGCCTTAAGAAGTTACTCCCAGAAGGTGTGGTGGTCCACGCCTGAAATCCCAGCACTCAGGAGGCTGAGGCAGGACTATCACTGTGAGTTTAAGGCCAGCCTGGATTACATAGCGAGACCCTGTCTCAAATTTAAAAAAAAATTATTTCCTTGATCATTTTTCCTTTACGTCTTTCACATTTTGGTAAGAGACTTGGCCAAGTCAGGGATTTAGCTCAGTGGTTTTGCCGCCTGCTATGCAAGCGAAAGGACCCGAGTTTGATCCCTGGTACCAAAAAAAAAAAAAAGAGACTTGGCCAAAGGACATCTCAAGATCATCTCTAAAGAGTGGGCAAGTTTATACTGAGTGGGGTGACTCAAATCCCAACCAGAGGCACCACCCCAACGCCACCTCCTTGGACACCTGCTTGGCTGTGCCTCTAACCATGTGTGCATGTGTGTGTGTGTTGTGGGTGTGTAAGTCTGAGATGTATTCTGGGCACATCGGGATGTGTATGTGGAGTGTGTAGGAGCTTGCTTGTGTGCCTTGCCGCTTGGGGGGAGCAGAAGGAAAGGCACTTACCTCAATGAATCCCTTTCCACTGCTAGAAGGAACATGTAGGCAGAAGGGTCCAGGGTCCAGGGCCCAGCCCAGGCCTTCAGAGTGGTGCCTTAGGGATTATTCAGTCCTCTGTGCTAACCAGGGCTCCGTGCAGTGTCGCTGATAACTCAGCAGCTGACCCTGACTCTCCCCTGCCCTTTTGCTCTTTCTAGCACCTGGCTTATTCCTTGGCACACAGTAAGCACTCAATAAATGTATGCTGAGAATGACTAGAACTGCTTCTTCCTCTGTTGCTCCTGGGTCTCTCACTGCCTCTGATCGTCTCTTGCCAGACTCCCTGTCTCTTGTCTGAACTGTGCTCCCTGAGCCCCAGCACCGGGATGGGCTGAGTTCCCTGGTTTGGGGTCCTACATTGTCCTTTGAAGACCTGTGGGCCAGACTGAGTGGTCTCCAGTGCAGGAAGCCCCAGGCTGCTGAATCCTAGATCTAAACGGGACTCTTCCCTGCCCTTGCTCCTCTAGGCTTCCCACCAAGCGGCCACCTCCCAGCTCCCATGGGGCCCAGAGCAGAAGAGAGAGAGCCCCAGGCAGATAGCCAGTAAACCAGAAGGGGAGGGAGCCGCCCGATGGTCCAGCCTGAGACCTGGCCTCTGGCCTTGCTGGGCTGGGGGGACTCGAGGTGCAGGGGAAGGTGAGGATGGCAGGGTGGGCAGCGCAGGAAGGGGTACGCGGACCCTGCAAGGCAGAAGGCCAGAGAGACGCTAAGCGGATGTGGGGCATGGTGGCCGCTCCTTGTCACACCTGCAAACTCAAGCTGAGCTCTGCCACATCCTTTGTTGTTACCTCTCATTTCCCTACCTTTGATAGAGACAGCACAGAAAAATATTTCCCCAGTCTAAGGGAGCCACCGCATAAGCTCTGCAGTCATACAAGGCAGCTCGACCTTGGTCTCCTTGTCAGGGATGCAAGAGCACTTGGTGGGGACCTAGAGACCACGGATCCCACTACCAGTGACAGCCTTGACAAGCTCTGGCCAATTACTGCCATGAGGAGATGAGCCCCATGCGGTCAGATCTTCTGATTTTTTTTTTTTTAATCCAAGAAAAGCTGGAAATTCTGAGTTCTATATAAAATATCCCCCTTTCAAATGTTAGCTCAAAAGAATTTTTTCGGAAAATATCACAGCTGCTCAAACCATGTTTAACCCTATGGTGGTGAGATAGTGTAGGAAGCGGGAAGAGGAAGTGAAGGCCTCCTCTGGTCACCAGGGACCCTGGCCTTGGTTTCCTCTGCCCCGCAGGTGGCACACTTGTGTCCCTCCTGCGTTACACTGTGGCTCTGCACGACGGGGCCCTTTCTTCTTACTTTAGTCTCCCCTGCCCTGGCTCCTAATGAATGCTGCTGAGTGAGCGGATGAGTTAAACTCTCTAATTAGTTTGCTGAGTGGTGCACAGTCCCTGTTTAGGGACAAGAAATTGTCAGAGGAGCTCAGCGCAGAGCCAGCTCACCCTCACAGGCCGAGTCCCTGCCCAAAGACTGGCCAAGCTCACCCCTGTGCCCAGAGGGAGAAGCTGGGCAGCAGGCTCACAGGTTGGTCTGTTCTTTTGTCTGGTGTCTCGCTCCCCACAGGAATGAATGTTCCTTGAAAGCTGGTGCATCCCCTCCTCCATCATCACTCTGCCTCGCTGCCTCGGATGGTGCATGGCATGGAATAGCTGCTCAGTAAATAGTCCAGGGATAAAATTTAGAAAGAGACAGACAGAAATAAACAGAAAAGAGCCTGAAACAGACAGAGGCTGGAAGAGGAGCAGGCTTTCACCAGCCAGGAAGGGACAGAGCAGAAGATGGAAAGAGTGAAACACGGTCTCCCTGAGATATGCAGAGATGGGTTACAGGTGTGGCTGTACCCAAAGTAGCAGCAAGGGCCAGCCAGCCAGGACAGATTATTGTGGCTCGAACTATCCGTGCTTCACACACAGCGGTGGGGGTGGGCAGGGCGGGGTCCAAAGGAAGCAAGTATCAGAGGCTGATCAATCCTCTGACTTCAGAGAAAGGGGGACAACAAGGGCTAAAGAAAAAGAGACAACAGAGATGTCCTGCATAATTTCAAAGTGTATGAGGGGCCAGGATATCAGTGCCTCAGAGCAGGCAAAGACAAAGACTTTCCAAGCTAGCCACTATCTACTGGGGACACACAATAATTGGAGGGAGCATCAGGTGACTTAAGGGGCTGTGGTAACCCTATGTCAATTGGGGTCTTATGTTAATGAAGGCAGTAAGGAGAGCATTCTTACAATAGTAGGTGGGAAGAGTTAAACTGATAAGGAATCTGTCCCTCCCCAGGTGAAACCTTTCTCTTACCACTGGGTTCTCAAAGAGCCAGCATGTCTTTAGCTGATGTAATCTTGCCCTTGCGTATCATAGCATCAAGGAACCATTGAGGTCTCAGCTGTGACCAGAGGCAAAAAATGGAGTTATGTTTTGGCATGTCACAGCCAGCTCGTGGGCAAGGGAACATTGGGCCTTAGACAGCTACTGTCATACTTTAATTATGAAGTGATTTTTCCCCAAAATTCTGTGGAATGGCTCCTGACAGAGCACATGCTGAAGGTGCATTGCCCAGAGTAGGGTAACAAAAGCAGCTTTGTCCAAAGAGAAGGGCCCAAATGTGTGGATTGGAGAGGGAAGAGAGAGAGAAAGGGGAAAGAAAGACATAGATGAGACAGAGAAACAGAAAGGAGAGACATAAAAAGGAAATGGGGGGCCAGGGATTTAGTTCAGTGACACGGAGCCTGCCTTGCAAGCGAAACGTCCTGAGTTCAATCCCTGATACTGCAAAAAAAAAAAAAAAGTAAATGGGGGAGGCTGCTAAAGAGATCACATTGGCCTTTATGGTGCTACGCACCTATAATCCCAGCTGCCGGGGGAAACTGAGGCAGGAGGATCTCTGCAGGTATGAGGCCAGCCTGGGCCACATAGTGAGTTCAAGGTTAGCCTGAACTACATAGTGAGACCCTGTCCAAAAAAGAGAGAGAGATGAAGACAGAGGTACAAATGAAGATAGTGAGAGGAAGCAGGCAAAGAGAGACAAAAAAGTCAGATGTGGTGGTACGTTCTTGTAGTCCCAGGACTTCCAGGAGGCAGAGGCAGGATGATCTCAAGTTGGAGCCCAGACTGGACAATTTAGCAAAACTCTGTCTCAAAATAAAATGTAAGAAATATAAGAAAGAGCCGGGGATTTAGCTCAGTGGTTCTGCTGTGCAAGCGCAAGGACCAGAGTTCGATCCCTGGTACCAAAAAAAGAAATATAAGAAAGGGCTTATTGTAGATAGGTAAGTTAATTAGTTATCTTTAGGCAGTTAGGGCCAGCCTTCAAAGAACCAACATGGAGGACAGTTGAGAAGACAACATGGAGGACAATCAAGACACATTCACTGAAGGCCAGCATCATAAAAGGAGAGAGACTACCAGAACTATGTAGGATAAATAGTAGTGATTGATATTCAGTCACCTGGTTGGGGCACCAAGATCTTCCAAGAAACACCCCTGATCTACCCCTTAGTGAAAATCCTTTCTCATTCTTATGCTTGTTATGTGATTTCTTCCCCACTGGATCCCCATTTACTCAATATTATAATCAATATTACCTATTCGACTATACTTGTCATAATCTTTTTTTTTTGGTATGAGGGATTGAACTCAAGACCTTGCGCTTTCGAGACAGATGTGGTGCTACTGAGCTAAATCCCCAGCTCCACTTGTCATAATCTTATTGATTTTTCATAGTTTTGTCCACCTTCTTGATTTTTCATTAGATCAATAGTACCTAACCAACTGTACTTGTCATCTTACTAGTTGACTACAGTTTTGTCCCATCTTGAACCTGCCTCACCTTGTGGCTTTGTCCCATAAAACACCTTTGAGAAGGAGGGTGAGCAGGCAGCCCACTTTCCGGTTCCCCTTCTGTCTCTCTTTGACAGAAGCTTTCTTTCTCTCAATAAATTTTTCCTACTCTTAACCTCCATTGTTCCTAGAATTTATTCTTTGATTTTAGAGAACACAAACTGGCATTTCAGATATCTAGCAGGTTTGGGAGTTTTATCTATTCCCCCTATATCAGGCTGATGATATAACTCAGTACAAAGGCCCTGAGTTCAATCCTCAGTACCACAAAAATAAAATAAAGACAGAAAGATAACACTCCAGAGTCACCTCTTTCTCTTTCTTCTCTCAAGCCTGAAGGATGCAGAAGTAGTTCTGAGGGGCAATATTCTATCCCTCCTTCTTCACAATACCTTTCCCCAGAATAACATGAAAATGTGCCATGCACTATGAAAAACTGCTTTATGTACATTGCCTTGTTTAATGAGTCCCAGCAATCCCATAAGCCAGATACTTATTATTGTCCCCAGTTTTACAAATGAGGAAGCTCAGGCACAGAGTAGTTAAATAACTTGCACAAGGTCACACAGTTATGAAACGCTACAGCTGGACTCCAAGGCATGAGGTCTGTCCCCAGAAGAGAGCCATTGGCTTCCAGTAGGGTGCAGCTGGAGAATGGTGTGGCTCTTGGATCTGAAGGCTAATCCTATGCATAGGGAAGCCAACTTGCTGGAGTAAAAAGAGATATAAAATCTGAACAAAAAGGACCTTGTTTGGATACCAAATTTCTCTAAAAGAAATGACAATATGCTGGGGATTTAGCTCAGTGGTTTCACCACCTGCCTCGAAAGCGCAAGGACCCTAGTTGAATCCCCAGTACCAAAAAAAAAAAAAAAACAAAGGTAAAACACCACTCTTTAAAGAGGCCACAGGCCAAGATGGACACTCTGTGGGCTTGAGAGCAGCTCCGCCAGTGTTACCTGATTGCCACTGATGCCGAGGCCCGGTTGGACCACGAGGGCGACACCGGGCAGGAAAGCTCTACAACTTTTGAGAAAAAGGAAAAACCTCTTCCAAGACTTAATATCCATTCTGGATTCTGGATTTTAGCATCCATCATTGTGACCTATTATGTTGATTTCTTTAAAACCCTTAAAGAAAACTTTCACACTAGTAGTTGGTTTCTCCTTGGCACTGCCTTGCTGCTTGCCAGTTTATCCGTGGCTTTGTACTGCATCGTCTACCTGGAGTGGTACCGTGGCGTTGAACAGTACAACGTCAAGTATCCGGCGCTGGTGCCTATCACAACTGCCGCTTTCATTGCAGCAGGAGTTTGCTTCAACATTGCTTTGTGGAGCGTGTGGTCGTTCTTCACTCCACTGTTGCTGTTCACCCAGTTCACGGGGGTCGTCATGTTCATCTCACTCCTTGGATGAGCTGAGGACTTAAGGGCATGGACATTTAAAAGGAGCCACTGAACGTCCAGCCTGCTGAGAGTGTCGAACACTGGAAAAGCTGCACTGTGTTCCTGTGTCTATGAAGTGGTACCTGGGTCTCCCAGGAAGAACTCTGACTTCAGAGAATAAAGTGTATTTCTTTTGCATATTCTCAAGCCCAAGTGATGATTCAGTTTTTCAGAAGTCTGTGTTATGTAGAAATAATTATTTTACGAAGTTAATCTGAATTTTTGGAGGAAGTAGCGGTTTCATTATAGGTACATAACATGACCCCAATATTTTAAATAAATGCTGTTCTTTTCCTCTTCAGGGATAGCAGTTTGTGGTCTGAAACGCTTGGATGTGTGTATGGAGGAGTTATGTTGTCATGTGCCTTCAATCCCACTGTAGTAATTACTGTGTATCTCATTTTATAGTAGTTTCCTTAGGTGGCAGGACCAAGTGGAAATATTGTGTTTTCTCATCACTTTTGATTTTACCATTGTGTAAATTATTGGATTTCTAGCATTTTTAACATAAGAACTTTCAATTCTCTTAAGTATGTATTTTTCTGTAACATTTAAATAAAATATTTTTATAACTTTAAAAAAAATAAAATAAAATAAAGAGGCCACAAAAATCACAGCATTTACAAATTTTAGGTATAACTCTTAAAAGGTGATATATTGTAATTTTTCAGTCATCTTGTACAAAGTTTAGCATCAAGAAGATAACTTCTATAGAAACTATCGGTTGATTCAGACTCCGTTCCTGCTAGTATTACATAGAGCATCCACGATAGTTTTGTTGTTCTCCGAAATCTGCTTGGTCACATTTTTAATGATTTGCTGGTAATCACTTTCCTGACTCTTGGTTGCTATGAATTCTTTCATCACAAAATTATTTTGCTCATGGTGTTGCCACTTTCTCTCCAAATTTGTAAACTGAGAATGCATCTCATTTTCTTGTAATTGTGTTTTCAGTGTCTCATATTCTCTGGTTAGCTTCTCTGTTATTTTCTTAAAGGCATTTTTACCGCTTGATAATACCATTCTCTCCTGATGCAATTTCTTTCTCTTTTCTTCACCTGATAATTTTAAAGCTGGCAAATCATTATATGTCTCCAGATCCACTGTCATTTGCTTAATTTTGCTTTTCAGAGAATGTTGTTCCTCTATCATCTTACTTTCCAGGACCTCCATTTTCTATAGATCTAACTGTAGATGTTGACTGAAGTCAAATTCCTAGCTGTATTTTGTGATTTCTGCATTTCAGTAGATTTAAAATTGAGGTGATCCTGCATCATCTTTAGTTCCTGGTTGGTGATAGAAGATATCTGTTTCATGCGATTTATATTCCTACTACAATGCTCCAAAAGTGCAACAATGCTGGCTTCTAACTGTGCCTTCCGTTCCAGTTCCTGATTCTTAGTTTCCTCAAAAGTGTCTATGAAAGTGTCCATATTTTCTTCCCTTTTTTTTAGTTCTCTGTATTTCTGATTCATTTCACAGTTCATAGAGGCTACAGTCCATAATCAGCTGGCTCTGAGACTCCCAAGTGCTGGGATTACAAGCATGTGCCACCACGCCCAGCTCAGCCTGGACAATTTTCTAGACCTTGTCTCAAAATAAAAAATATAAAATAAATCAAACAAAACAAAAAGGGGTGGAGATGGAGCTCAGTACAAAAGCCCTGGGTTCAAACTCCAGTACCACACACAGATACACATACACCCCAAAGGCCCAGAGGGACAGTTCTCTTGCTTGGCACTGCAGGCTTTGGGCCACCTCACTTCCCACTTCCTCTCTAATCAGCAGCCTCTGGCCCCAACTCAACCTATGTAAAATTCTGCCTTGCACCTTTGCCCACACTGGCTTCCTGTGGAGAGGCCATTTCCTCTTCCTGGCTTGATGTGGCTCAAGTCCCCATGTCCTGAGATGCTTCCCATACCCCTCCAACCTCCTCCAGTGCTGATGCTAGAGTCATACCTGGCCACCTTGATCACAAGCTACCTTGTGGCTAGTGACCATTTCCTGCAGGCTCAAGCTCTCTCCAGGAGAACAGATGCTGTTTCTCATAATTTTGATGGTTGTTTTGGTTTTTCATTTCCCCTAGTGCCGGGGTCTCACCTTGTCTCAACTCTTACCAACTAAGGAGCAAGCTAGCTTGGCAATAATCCCTCTTGTTTTCAGGTCTCGGTCCAAACCTTGCCTCTGTCAAGGGTCTTCCCTGCTCACCTAACCAATGCTGTCCTCCAAGGCTGGTCACCTTCAAGGGAGTTCAGCTTTCTCATAAAATTGGTTACTACTGAAAGTCATTTCTGTGTTTGTTTATATTAGGATTCTTCAGCACAGGAAAGACTTTGTTTTGCTTGGTCACTCCTTGTATCCAAAATGCCTAGAAAAAGACCTAGGACAGGGCCAGGTGCTCAATCAATATTTATTGAGTGGATGTGTAAATGTTTCCCCAACTAGACTGCAAGTTCCCAGGGGGCAGGATCTGGTTACTTCCTGGAGAGAGAGCCAGGGCATGGCACTTGTTAAAGAACAATTCATTGATACTATGGAAGAGAAAGAGCCCTAAACTGAAGGGTGTAGGCCAGGGATGGCAAACCTTTTAGAGCTTTCAATGATAACAAACAGCTCACTATAACACATGAGCCATAGGTTCATTACTACTGGTACTTAATCTTGTTAATCTTGGACTTTTGGTTATTGGGGTTTTTTTGTTTTGTTTTGTTTTGTTTTTGCAGTACTAGAGGTTGAACCCAGGGGCAGCCTACACTGAGCTACATCTCCAGTCCCCCTTATTTTTTGGAGACAGAGTCTCGCCATGTAGTTCAGAGTGGGCTTGAACTCACTATGTAGCCCAGGCTGGCCTTGAACTTGCAGGCAATCTTCCTGGCTCAGCCTCCCGGGTGCTGGGATTACAGGTATGCACCACTATGCCTGGCCTTTTTTTTGTAATTTTATTTTATTTTTTGTATCGGGAATCAAACTCAGGACTTCGTGCTTGCCAGGCAGGCACGGCACCACTGAGCTAAAGCTAGGGGCCCTGGCCCTTTTCATTTGAAAATTTGAGACAGATCTTGTTAAATTGCCCAGGCTGTCCTCACACTTGTGATCCTGCTGCCTCAGTCTCCTAAGTTGCTAGGATTACAGGCATTCAGCACCATACCCATCTTTTTGGCCTTCCCTTGAATAGTGTAGCTCAGTTTCTGGGGGTATCTGTGCTCCCAGTCCAGAATCTGATGAATGAGTGGCCAACACATGCAATACTCAGGGCATACCAGTCCTGCCTGGACAGCAGCATGGCCAACTGCTCCACCCTCCCTTTCAAAGGCCCTACATTGGGCAGCCCACTCACCATCTCACCTGTAGGCCTCTCAAGAACTCTGTGCCCCCAGGGAATCCCACCCTGGAATCATTCTCCCCTGTTTTCATTGAAGGTGGCCCTGTCCACTCAGGCTTCCAGGCCAGAGACTGTGTGGCTTTCTCACCTCCTCCCTCACTCTTACCTGGTCACCCTCTCAGCAATTAGTCAACAACCTTCTGAATCCTCCCTAAACTCCTGCAGCAGCTTCCTACTGGTCTTTTGTGCCTCTAATCTGGCCTATTCTGTCCCCCTCTTCCTCCTCTCCTGACCCCCAGCCTTCAAAGTGAAGCTTCACACACTAAACCTGCTCAGATCTCTGCTCAGAACCTTTAAATGCCTCTCAGAACCCTTAAGGCAGTCTCCAAACACCTTATTATCACCCACCAGGAACCTACCTCCTCCCCCTGCAGCTCCTCAGCCCCTAAACTTTATGGTCCACTCACTCCTCTCAGTCCACACTTGTACCATTCTTTTTGGCTACAGCCTCTGCACTCCTCTACCTGCTACACTCTCCTCCTCCCCCAGCCTCTTGCAGGTCTCAGCCTACTTCCTTAAGGATGCCATCCCTAACTACAGCCCTCACACTCAATCAGATGCACCTCTGGTGTAATCCCGTTAGCTGTTTCACCCCACACTGCCCTTTCCATTGTAATTGTCCGACTCTATCATCTCCTCATCTCCAGCCACATCTATTCACTCTTCACTTGTCCCTGAGTTCCCTAAAGACTCCAAGGTATCTGCCTTGTTCAGCTTCTCAACAGGCTCTGGTTCGCAGCAGGCACTCAGCAAATATTTATTGGATGACACTAAGATTGCTGAGTTAAAATCTCAGCTCCATCACATTGTAGCTGTGAACATAGGCAAGTCTCTTAACATCTGCCTCCTCCTCTCCTGTAAATGGGGACAGTAGCAATACCTTTCAGGTAAAATTGTGAAGGACCACAAGAGGAGAAGTTGCACACACATTTGGTTATTAATTTTTTAAAATAACTGGCTCTCAATCCACGCACCCGGGAGGCCCAAGCATAAAAGCACACCTCTCCCTCCCTCACAAGAGAACTCAACTAACACCCTGCGGGACACCTCCGTGTCTGCTTCGCTTTCAGGCTTTTGCACACGCCTGGGGCCCACCTAGGATGCCGACCCCCCCCATCGATGTGGCCCATTTAAGGATGAAAGGGGCGGGCCCAGGAAGGCCCCGCCTCCGCATTGAAGTCAGCGCGCTCCGCGGCGTGTGACGCTCTGGTTGCCGCAGAGACGCCCCGCCCCCGCGCGGCGCTGCGGAACCGGAGCTCCGGGCGGCGTCGGAAGCAGCGCGGGAGGCGGCGAGGCCGGGACGGCAGCAGCAGGCGCGGCGATCGCAGCGAGAGCGCGAGAGCGGTGGGGACGGAGCAGACCACGACGAACGCGCACAGGCAGCCGGACCGGGCCGGGCCACTGGGAGAGCGGCCGCCGGGAAGCGGGCGGGAGGCCGGGCGGGCAGCGGGCAGCCGCCGAGCCGCGAAGCGACATGGTGCTGCTCAAGGAGTAGTGAGTGTCCGGCCGGCGGCGCGGAAGCGAGGAGGAAGGGAGGATCGGGGATGACCGGGAAGGCTGATGGGCCGCCTAAGGGAAAGGGCAGCGTGGATGTGGCTGTGGGGCGGCCTGGCAGGGGCGGACTGGATGTCGGGGGCTAGGCAGGGCCTGAAGTGGTGCTAGTGAGGCTAGAGAGACCCGGACGGCACGCGAGCTAGGGCCCAGGGGGCCATGAAGGCCGAATAGGCCCAATGAGAGGTCCAGGGGACAGTGAGGGCTGGACAGGGCCTGAGATGGGGTCAAAGGGACAGTGAGAGCCGGAGAGGGCATGAGGAGGGGCTGAGGGAATCGAGAGGACTGGATGAGACGTAGGGTGGTCCTACAGTGGAGACTGAGGGATGACGAGGCCAGCCAGAACTGCAGGAAGGACTGAGAGAACTGGCGGGAGACGGAGTTGTCCGAGGGCCGAGGAACAGTGGGACAAGGGCAGATAGGACCTGTGAGCCAGCCTGTGGTGGGGAGGGAGGGATTTGAGGGCTGATCAGTCAGGGGTGCGGAAGATCAGATAAGATAGATGGAAGAATGGAGCAGGAATGATGGGAGGAGTGCTGAGGTGGAACCTGGAGTATGCATAAGCAGTTAGTTTAGGCAGCTGGGGAAAGATTGTAATAAGTGGCCAGCGGACAAGTACTAGTCAAGGCCAGGCTTGGATGACAAGGGAAGGAAAATGGGGGGACTGAAATGGCATGGTGCCCAAATGGTAGGTGGAGAAGAGGAAGCATTGGAAAAAGCTTGAGATGACTGCTTTGGACTTGGGGTCATTTGTGTGGGGAGTCCAGAAAATACTGGGCACCATCTGAAGTGCCATGAAGGAGGTTATGGTGATGGAGAGGGCCAGGAAGTTATGAAGGTAGAAAACAACCTAGAAAAAGAATATGTTTGTGAATATATTTAACAGTGCAGGTGGCTGGGACCAGGGCAGGACCAGCCTGTCCCTAGAGGTTCTCGGTCTTGGTGCAAAGAGATGGGGAAATTGCTTGAGGAATGGAGATTTCCATAAAGCCATAGAGAGACAGTGAAGGAGTTTTTAAGTAATGTCTTGAGGGTGAGAAAGTGGTGACTTTTCAAAGGAATTGTAGGGAGATGGGATTGCTCCTGAAATCCAGGGGACTGAATGATGGGGATATTCAGATTGTTAACTCCTTCAAATAGGTAATCTATCCCTGAAGCTCAGGGTTCCAAGAACACAGGATTTTTTCCTCCCCCAAAGTGGGAGAGATTGAATGCATGTGTGTCTAGAATTTACAGTGAAACTATCTCTGTGGAGGGAGGGGAAGTGGGCAGCATTGGGCTAGAAGCCCTGGAAGTCCACTTCGGAAATGTCCGAGCAGGGAGAAACTTACTGAACTCTGGGTAGGCAGGCAGTTATGCAGTGTTCTTTCCATTTTGTCAGCGAAGTCACTTTGTCTAGTCCCATCTGCTTTGCTCCTTGGAGATGTTTAGGACATTTAGGAGTGTGCAGTTGAATAATAAAATAGCAAAGATGTAGATGCCATCCAAGCTTGGTACGTCATGTGAAGAACGTGACTTTAGGCCCTGTCACCTGTTTCTTGACATCTAGTTTGCTGTTAATCCAGCCGGAGCTCAGAGTTTTTGTAGTGAGGAGGAAGAACCTAGGATGGCAAGATTCTCTAAGGAGGAGGACATGGTACACTTTTCATTTTAATCTTTGGTGTCCAAACTAACAGTCTTCTCTGTTCTTCTGAGCTTTTTACCTGTTCCCAGATGAATCCTAGAATCTATAGAAATATGTAGGGGGGTTTTTGGGGGGGGAAGTACTGGGGATCGAACTTGGGACTTTGTGCTTTCGAGGCAGGTGGCGGAACCACTGAGCTAAATCCCCGGGCCCTAGAAATATGTAGTTTTGTTTGTTTGTTTGTTTTTTGGTACCAAGGATCGAGCTCAGGACCTTGCGGATCGAGCTCAGGACCTTGCGCTTGTGAGGCAGGAAATATGTAGTTTTGAAAGGATGATCAGGCAGGGGAAAGAAAGTTCCTCCGAAGAGAAGTGAGTTTTGAAGGGACATACCCCTTTCCCAGTCTTTGTTCTCCCTTTGAAGGCCGCTAGAGAAGGCCCAAGGTATGGGGATGCAGAGCTGACCCAGCATCTGTGTTTCCTTCCTGCCTGACTTGTGCCCTCTGTGTACATCCTGGGCTAGGGACAAGGCGGGAGGATGCATCTGAAATACTTGGCTGTGGCTGCAGAGCTGCAGCTTCGGGAAGGATGTGAGTGAAGGTCATACTGTATTGAGCACGGCTCTAGCCTCAGCCCAGCTGTGCTTCTGTGACTCTGTCCTTTGGAATTGTACCTTATTGGTGCTGAAGTGGTTTTATTCCCATGGAGCATGGAAGAAATGTCTGGGTGTATAGCCATGTTGGAAGCAGCCCCAGAGCATCCTGTGAAGAATGAATTGGGCAATGCCATTCTCTTTTGGGAAGGAGAGTTGGATCTAAAGATTGTCCCTATTGATGTTTTTGATACTTCCTGCAACAGGATTCTCCTAGATTTGATTCCTGCAAATTCTTGGATGTGATTTTTACTGTGTTCTTGAAGATAAAAGGCATGTTGTTTTCTAGGAAGTTTCTTCTGGGGGTGCAGAAATTCTGGCCTCCAACTTGGGAGTATTTTTCTACACTTTTGTCTTTCTCTAATGAGAGGAGAGCATTAGTGGCAACATCCAGTAAACTGGAGGATTTATGTTACTTGAGTCCTTCTGAGGAAGGGAGTTGTTAGCAGGCAGTGAAGATTTGGAGCCCATTTTGTTTTTCTGCTACTTTTCTTCTTGGTGCCTGGCCTTTACTGTGATGTTTTCCTCAGATCCCTCTGTGCTTCTTGCTTCCTGGGGGACCTTTGTGGAACTAAATAATAGCAAGCTATTTAGCAGCCTGGAGGAAGGAGACATGCTTGAACCCACTGCACTGCATAGGAAAGAGGACATAACAGCTCATGCTTCATCAAGCAAGCACACAAGGTGCAGAAGGATTCAGAGGGTTCCAGCAAAGCTCTGAAGACTGAGAATCATCTCAGCTTGGGAACTGCCTTAACTTGTAGGAGTACAACCACGGCTTTTTCTCTCAGCACTCTGACCTCAAAGCATTGAGCTGAGGGGTGGCCATTAGCCTGCATTAAAAATGCAACCCACCTGCAGTAGTGCACTAGCCCTCTCCACCTCGCTGGAGTTCTGCCCCTCATGGGGACTTTGCTGGCCATGGCTTTTCCATCAGATTATTGGTGGTCCCTCCAACAATTGGTGGTCATTGAAATGGAGAAGAAAAGAAAGTGATCAGTCAGGTGTCTTTGGGCAGCTTCTGGAGGTCAGAGACAGTTGAGTGTCCTCTTTTGGAAGTACCTAGTTGTATCTTTTATTGTTCCTAGCCTTTCACCTTGAGGGCTGTTACTGGGAAGTTAGGTCCACAGAGATGCAAATCTCCAGGGCCTGGCTCTTTGGGTCTGAATCTTCATCCTGGTGGGTCCTTCTTTGTTAACCACTGTTTTACTAGACTCATTAGCAAGTCTTGTTGGAGAAGAGATGGGTGAGGGAGCGGGAGAAGAAGACAGCTCCACATGTGAGTCAGAGGCCTGGGAAGTATCTGGTGGGGGACTGGGGTTTACACTGAATCATAGAGTTCTAAATGGGATGCCAGAAGGGCACCCAGGGCCTGCCCCGCTGGGTTTTTTGTCAGTGAGTATAGAGTCAGTCATATGCAACAGAACACTGAATACTGTTCTCACCTGATGCTTAAGAGCCTCAGGCAGGGTTTAGAACCTGAAGTTGACTCTCTTTTCCCTCTCTTGTAGTCGAGTCATCCTGCCTGTGTCTGTAGATGAGGTAAGTTCTTTTTCTTTCTTATCCGTGCTTGTACATAAGTACTTGTGACCATTGGCTCAGTTGGGCTGGGAGTAGCCATATTTTTTGTACAGTTCTTGTATTTGTTCTAACGTAGAGAGAACCATTGCTACTTTTAGTTGCAGGAAGGCATTTGCTTGGTATATCTGGCAAGCTGTTAGCATGCTGAATGATGATGAGAGACCAGCCCAACTCCTTTTACCTGCTGGGACTGTGCTCTTATTGATGGGATTAGGTGTGTGCATTTGTGGGGACCTCTGTGACTTGCCTGGGAAGTGGGCATGGCTCTTTCTGATTGTGCAGCAAACCAGCAGGGCCAGAAATCCGAGGCCCTCCCCAGCCATGCTAGGTGACTGCTGGAAGGACCAAAGCACAGAACCCTCCTTTTACGGAGGTTAGGGAATGACAAATGGGCTTGACTTGTTCTCTGTCCTTTTATGGCGGCTGAGTCTGATGTCCCAGTCTGTGGGGATCTGGCAGCAGCATTTGCCACAGAAGGTTCATAGGTCATGCTGACTCAGAGCTGGTGTCCTGGACAGCAGAAAGCTGTCACAGAGGCTCCGATGTTCCACCCTTTCTCTGAACTTCCTCCACTCCCCTGGCACAGTCTTGTTCTTTGCCTTCTTCTGAATCCACAGGCCCCATCCCAGCTTCTGGTGAAACTTGAGTTTGGGTGCAGTTCTGTCATTAGGCTCCATCTTTTTCAGTGTGAGCATGAAACTTCTGTGATAACCTCCACTGTATTCCAAATAGAAGCTGGACCTTTTAAGAATGAAATCAGGCCAACAGAGTCCACAGTCCCCTTTAAATGCGATAAATATCCAGGTTTCCAAATATGGAAGAGGGACCGGCAAACATTAGTCCCCTAGACTGGGCTCTTCCATAAGAGCTATGGAGACCTGGGAGAGGGAAAATGAGTTGAATTTTAATATGAACTGGAGGCTCTTAAAGTACAGATAAGCAACATGAGATTTAAGTGGCTGTGGTGGTACCAGCCTATAATCCCAGCTGCTTGGGGGGCTGAAACTGGAGGATCACAGCCCCACCTGGGGAATTCAGTGACTTGTAAGATCTTGTGTCAAAGTAAAAATTTTTAAAAGGGGATGTAATGTGAAGGCTTTGGGTTCAATCCCCAGTAAAACTAACTCTCTCTCTCTCTCTCTCTCTCTCTGACTCTTTCTTTCTCATGATTTTCCAAACTGGAATGCCAAGCCAGAGGGTCCAACATGTCTCTGAAAAGTAGTAGGTTTTTTTGGGGGGGTAGGTTCCAATAACTTGCTCTCTGCTACACAGGAAACCCCCCCCCCATTTCAGTAAACTATCAGCTTGAAATTTGGGATTTCCTCAGTGTGGTATTTTGGGGCAAAATGGATTTTTTTACAGGGACTTTCTTTTTTTTTTTGGTACCGGGGATCGAACTCGGGATCTTGTGCTTGTGAGGCAGGTGCCAGAACCACTGAGCTAAATCCCCAGCCCGGGACTTTCTTGATAGAATGAAGGGTGAGACTCCCTGAGAAGTGCTGGAGTCCAAGGAAGGCCAGAATGGTCCAGGAGCAGGTACTGCTCAGCTCCTCTGCCATAAGGCAGGAAGGGCCAGAACCCTGACTGCTCACAGTAGAACCACTTGAGAGCTTCCAAAACTGGCAATTTTTAACTGGTGATGGTTTTTTGCAGTGTTGAGGAAGCGGCAGCATGGGGTAGTCAGTTATTCAGAGCCTGGAGTCTAAACAAAAAGCTTGGGAAGTAAGTGCTGATTAGGATTCTTCTGTCATCGCTTCTCGGCCTTTTGGCTAAGATCAAGTGTAGGATTCTTCTGTCTGTGTTGATGATTAGTGTGTTCTTGGCAAGAAACCATTAACAAAAGGGCATGGTGGTGCACACTTGTAATCCCAGTACTTGGAAGGCTGAGGCAGGAGGATCACTGAGTTCAAGGCCAGCCTGAAGTACCTACCTAGTCCCTGTCAAAAAAAAAAAAAGAAACTATTGACAAAGTAGCACCTGACCTGGTAGGGTTAGTGGTGCTCTTTTAATGGCTTGAAGACCAGAAAATTCTTGAATGGGGAAGCCAAAAAAGTAATGATAGAACTTCTCGAGAGTTTTGGTCAATAACCCGTCCTGACTCACAGTTCCCATGAAAACAACCCAGAATCATGTAATTGGTAGATTCACTTCCTAAATTGGAGGCCATGACTTAGGCCCTTGAGCTTCTGATTTGTGGGAGAAAGAGAAAAAAGAAAAGAGAAGGTCATGTCTTTATAATCATCCTGATGGCCTGAATCAATATTTGGAGGAATAATTAGCTTCTGGCTAGCCAGTCTTTGAGCCAACACTGCCCAGGTTTCTGGGCATCTGCAGCACAGCAAGAATGCTCTGGCTGACTGACATGTGTGTGTCTACCTGTGCTTCCCAGCTCAGGCCAGCCCACCGTCTACTATGGGCAGGGCTGGTTTACTTGTTTTCAAAGATTCATGGCCCCATCCCCTGTGGTACCTGACCTGATAGGCCCGTCTTCTTGGGACTAGCAGTCATACTGTTTTTCTTTTCTTTTTTTTTTGGTGGTACCAGGGATCAAACTCAGGACCTTGTCCTTAAAAGGCAGGCATGGCGCCACTGAGCTAAATCCCAGCCCTGTTCTGTTTTTCATGACATGCTTCATGTCAGTATTTCTGGCCCGCTCATTACATATATTTTCCTGGACTCCCACTCCCAGATTGCCAAAGTGATGAGATCTGTTTTTCTTGTCTTGTTCATTCATTCATGGCCCAGGCCCCTTTGGGACAGAATTTCACTGTGTTGCCTAGACTGCCCTTAAACTCCTCCTGGATTCAGGCGATTCTTCTGCCTCAGCCTCCCAAGTAACTGGGACTACAAGCACATGCCACCATGCCTGGCATGTTTCTGTTTTTCTTAGCTGAGTGTCTTAGTTCTTTGGGACAAGAGAACAAATCTCAAGGGTAGGGAGCATTGTCCTATGCCTGCAATGACTGGAATCCTGGTATCCTTGAGGTTCCTTATCTGATTTAATGGTCTGACTCCCACCTCTACTGCCACACAGCCTGAGTCTGGCAATTTTCCCAAGATGCAGAACATCTATGCCAAAGGGCACCCTCTGACATGGAAAGAGTCCCTCATTTGTAACTTGTGCAAGGCAGTCTTACCCCTTTGGATTAACAAATCTGCCTTCACTTGTCTCATTGGGATTAAAGGATCGGAATATCAAGAGAGATTAAAGGGGTAAGATGCCAGCCAACAAACTGATCCTCTTAGAGCCTACCCTCTGATTCCTGCAGCTGAGAAGAGACCCAGTAAAGACAATAAGTCTCTACCCAGGGGCCCCTTCCCCAAGTAGCACCATGATCTGGCAACTCCCTCCTCTCAAGCAGACCCTCTTCCCAGCCTGCCCTTTAGGACAGCTGAGTCAGTGGTTAGATGCCCTTGTGACTGTTCTCTGAAACAGAGTTTCTGCTGCTTCTTCGGAACCCCTGGCTCAGCCAAACCCTGATCCACTTGATAGGGGTTTCATGTGTTCCTTAGCTAGGTGGTGGAACTGGAAAGGCACGGGGACAGTTTGGGGTTCCATGCGGGCATTGAGGCAGCACTGATGTTGCTTAGAATTAGCAAGGTCAAGGTGACTGGCTCTTACCCTGATGTTCCTCTTTATGGGATTAGCTGAGCCTTGATCACTTGCCTGGGCCTTTCCTTAGCATTTTATAGTGGGTTTTTGCTTTGGAAATTAGGGCTCTTTGAGCTTTGTGGTGAGTAGGGAATTGTCCTGATCTATGCTTCCCTTTCCAGACTTTGCCCAGAAATTTCTCTGCAATGATTAGGAAGCTGCCATAGAGCCAGCTTCCAAGTGTGAGGGGAAGAAACCCTGGAAGCTGCTTTGTTGTTTCGCTGGTGCTGGCAGTGGTTCAGTGGCAGAAGCCTAGAGATGCCGTGTCCCTGTTTTAATGTCAAAGAGAGAACCCTGGTCTTTCTCCCTGAGGAGTTTGGGAAAGGAGAGTAGAGGGAGAGGGAAACCTTAATCCCCTTCCCCAACATATTGGGTAATCAAGTACTGTGCTTGTTTTTCTTTTTCTCATACTACCTAAACAGTTGTGCCTGTTCGGCACTTGGAGCGATGAGGAAAATGCGGCCTTCAGTATAATTGTGACTTCCTCTATTAACTGCCACTGTTTGTTTGCACTTCACTGTATTTTTCCCTGAAGATGGCTTTCCTCAGAGAGAAGGGGGCAGAAGGGCCAGGCCTGGGCATTGCCTGAGGGGTTCAGAGGAGACCAGTGATCTTGACTTGTGACCTGATAGGGTGGCATGTGACCTAAATAAAGGAAAAGCATGCTTTTGCCATCTAGTAACTGCCAACACAGAAGGGGCACCCAGCCAACAGACCAGGGAAGGAATCTGTACTATCTAATATGGGGAACAGTAGCACTTGCTTCAGCCCCACCAGGAACCTGGGAAGCCTCAGGAGGTTTGATAGCCTGAGACACTCTTTCTTGAGTTCCTTTCAGGGTGAGGAGAGGCCTAACCCTGGCGAAAAAGCGAGTAGGTGAGCCTGCTTTACAATAGAGTTTGTGAATTTTACAGAGCACTGGACCACTTGTCTTTGACAAGCAGTCGTGTCTTAGGATCTGATCAAATGAATGGGACAAAGAGACACAATATCTGACAACCAACCCAGATCCTATTTTTGGAGTCTTAATACAGTACCAGAGACAAGTCCAGGGCAAAAGCTACTTTGTGAAGATTAAATGCGTTCGCCTGCCTCTTTAAACCCTGATGTATGAACTAAAAACAGGAAAGTTTAAATTAAACACAGTTGATGGCTAAAGCAAGGCCATGAAACAGCATTCTTGGTTGCTTTGGGTAGATTTGGACAAGACCTGTTGTGAAACTCTAGGACAAACTCCTGAATAAGGAGACCCCGAGATCTACTGGACAGCTACCAGCAGCCGTACCATGTGACTGTGGAGAATAATGTGTGTTACTCTGTTCCTTTAGTATCAAGTAGGGCAGCTGTATTCTGTGGCTGAGGCCAGTAAAAATGAAACGGGTGGTGGTGAAGGTGTGGAAGTCCTGGTGAACGAGCCCTATGAGAAGGATGGAGAGAAGGGCCAGTACACACACAAGATCTACCACTTACAGAGGTATGTGACCAAGGCTGCAGGGGGTGCTGGCCTGGCTTGGAAGTGTGGTGGGTGTCTTCAGGTTATTAGCTGGCTGCTCATCTGTGCTGTTTCATCTGTGCCCATGGTTTATTCGTTTAAATAAAGATTCTTGTTATTTAAAAAATAAAGTAAAAATAATATCCAATGGGACAGTGATGCATGTACCACCAGAGGTGGTACACTGGGCTCCCAGTCACCAGATGTGACAATTTATGGTTTCTTGGGGCCCTTTCCTTAGTTTATGAGTATAGAAGTAGTTTGTATGTGTGTGAATGGGTGTTTTTTTGTTTAGGTACCAGGGATCGAACTCTAGACCTTGTGCTTGCCAGGCAAGCACAAATCCCTGAGCTAAATCCCTGGCCCTGAATGGATGTTTCTTTATTGTTATTTGACATAGATAGGATCCTACTATCATATGTATAGTGTTTTTGATCATTTTTTGTGTATCAGGTCTTAGTTGCCTTTCTCAGCATATCCCACCTCATTCCTTTAAAGCACACATAGTATTCATAGGTATCACGTTAGGCAAATGTACAATAAACTGTTTAACCAGGCCTCTCTTGATGTGTATTTGTAATCATTTCCAGATGTCTACATACTTCAGTAAAATTCCTTTGGTGTCAATCTTGTGGGTTTTTGTTTTGGTACCAGGAATTAAACCTAGGGGCTTTACACTGAGCTATATCCTCATCTCTGTTTTTTATTTTGATGCAGGATCTCACTGAGTTCTTACATTGCCCAGGCTGGGCCTGAACTTGCAATTTTCCTGCCTTAGCCTCCCAGGTAGCTGAGATTTCAAGCATGTACCACTGTGCCTGGCTACCAGTTTCATTTTCATTTGGTAACATCCCTGATTGATTTGCTGTAGTCTCCCACTCTGGTGATGGAAGGTGGTAACCAAGAAGGGTTCAGGATTTTGCAGAGCAGGAGCAGGAGGAGAGCAACTCTGTGAAGTGGGAGAATGTCACGGTGATACCATTGCCTAGTCACTGCCCTCTTTATTCTTTATATTTCTTCTTGCTTCTCCTCCATTTCCGCTCTGAATTGACTGCTAACCAAGGAATTAACAGTAGGTTAAGATGAGCTCTAGCTAATGCCTTCCCCCTTTTTTTTCCTCTTTGGTACCAGGAATTGAGCTCAGGACCTCGAGCTTGCCAGGCAGGCATGGTACCGCTGAGCTACATCTCCAGCCCCCCATAGCCTATTTGTATTCTTGCAATGCTGCTTTATTTTTGGTACCGAGGATCAAACTTGGGACCTTGCGCTTGCGCGGCAGGCACCGGAACCACTGAGCTAAATCCCCGGTGCCTATTTGTATTCTTTACTGGGGGTAAGTTTTGGGTGATGTTGGTAGCCAGGCCAGCTGGGTTGTGAGGCTCTGGCTTCTCACAAGTAACCTGCTTATCTCATGGAAACTTGTTTGTCAACTCCCCTTTGAAGAAGTTGGATCTGTATCTTGAAGGATGTGATGTGAAAGCCTGTTTTCTCTTTTCTCTCCTCTATTTCTCCTCCTCGATCCTTTTTTTCTGGATAGCAAAGTACCCACATTCGTTCGAATGCTGGCCCCCGAGGGAGCCCTGAATATACACGAGAAAGCATGGAATGCTTACCCTTACTGCAGAACCGGTGAGTGCAGACCTGGCTAGAAGCTGGAGTTTAGGCCCAATGGTGGACTGGGGATGTGGTCAAGTAGGCCCAGGAGTGGGGGTGTTATCCAGGCTTTGTGTCCCACCTTCATTTTCCAGATTAGACTAATGAAAGGATGAGATTGGGGTCTCCTCCTAGCCTGGGGTGTCAGTGTTATCTTGCACAACTCAGTGGTCAACTGGGTAAGAACTGCCAAGTGGTCACAGCTTGAAAGCACAAAACTTAACTCCCTCTGTTTGGGGATGGTATGATAATTTTGATTGTTTGGTTTTTTTTGGTACCAGGGATCAAACTCGTGTCCTTGCACTTGTGTAGCAGGCGTTGAAACCACTGAGCTAAATCCCTGGCAATTTTGATTGTTTTTACTGCTTGCAAAATAATGTTCTTTTTTTTTTTTTTGGTGTGGGGGATCGAACTCGGGTCCTTCCTCTTGTGCAGCAGGCGGCGAAACCACTGAGCTAAATCCCCAGCCCAAAATAATGTTGCCCGTACATATTTTGGAAAATACAGAAAGAACAGAAGAACACAAGCACCAATGACTGTTTCATCTGTAGATAGTCACTTGTCTTTTGTTCCCCCCACCACCACCACGGATTGAACTCAGGACCTTGTGTTTGTGAGGCAGGCGAGGGCGCCACTGAGCTAAATCCCCTGCCCTTAGTCAGTCACTTCTAACTTTTAGGTTTTTTATTTTTTTGATACTCAAGATTAAACTCAGGGGCACCACTGGGCATGTTAGCCTCCTGCTTCCTGCTTAGAGTAAGTGTGTGCCACTATTCCTGGCTGTCTTATTTTTTTTCCCTAGTACTAGGGATGAATTCAAGCCCTTGCCTATGCTGTGCTATAGGCAGTCACTCCAGTGCTGAGCTACATGCTCTGCCCTTTTTTAAATGTTTTTTTTTTTTTCTGGTACTGGGGATGGAACTCAGGACCTTGAGCTCTCGAAGCAGGTGGCGGCACCACTGAGCTAAATCCCCGGCCCCTTTAAAAATGCTATTTTGAGACAAAGTCTTACTAAGTTGCTCATGTTGATCTCAAATTCCTGGGCTCAAGCAATTCCCCTGCCTCAGCCTCCTGAGTAGCTAGGATTACAGGTATGTACCATCACACATCACACTGTGTTCTTTTTAAACGATTCTCTTATTGTCAAATACTGAAATTCAGTTTTACTGTGATGTATCTACACTTGGCTTAAGAAGAGGCAGAGACTTAGGAGCTCTTGAGAGAGACAGTCACGGGAAAGGGCTTGGAGAATAGCCTCTCCCTGCCCTGGAGAAGGGCCAGGTCTAGACACTAAGCAAAGTTAGCACAGGAGACACTGATGTTGCTGGGGTAAAGTTGAAACGAGCCCAATTGTTCGTGACAACAGATTTAGAAACAGTGATCACCAAAATCCATTATATTCACATGGAGTGTGTGTGGCAGATTCTTCACCCAGAGGGTGAGAGGTTGTCTCCGCTAAGAGCTCTGAATTGATGGCTTGTGCTGAACCAACATGGTGTATGGTTGAAGTAAGGGTGGAATTATTTCTGAATATGTTTTCGTTTGTTTGTTTTTTGAGACAGCATCTTGCTGTGTAGTTCAGGCTGGCCTTGAATGCACTGTGATACTCCTGCTGCCTCAGCTTCCCAAGTGCTAAGATTACAAGTGTGCATCACAACACCCAGTTTATTTTCTGAATCTTTTTTTTTTTTTTTTTTTGGTACCAGGGATCGAAGTCAGGACCTTGCGCTTTGGAGGCAGGCATGGTGCTACTGAGCTAAATCCCTTGCCCTATTTTCTGAATCTTGTCCTGTCTCCTATCTGGTATTTCTGAAAAGGAAAGGAAAGATTTGAATTTTCACAGAGAACTTTCTCTTCTAGTCTAGACATTCTGAGATTCCTTTTTTTTTTTTCCCTGAGATTCCTTTTGAGTAGTTCAGACCAGCTTTTCAGGATTCCCAGGTTTTAGGAACATCTAGGAGTAGACCCCTTAGGCCCAAGCTGAAACCGACTCATATCCCAGGGGAGTCCCTAGAGGATCCCCTGGAACTTGTTTGTGAGGTGAGTGACCTTTCCTCCCAGCAGCCTTCATTTGTTAGCACAGTCTGGCTCCGGGGTCCGCCTGCCAGCCTCTGCTTCCCTGTACTGCCTGCTTGCTTTATTTGCTGGGACCTGGCACTTCCTGGTTTGTATCTGATAAGGCTGTCATCCTGCTATGACTCAGGCAGTTCTTCTCCTGTGGACTTTGGGAGAGACAAAAGTCATTGCTCTCTCCAGTCCTCCAGGCCCTCCAAGGTTCAGTGACCTTGTACCAGGAGATGCAGTTGTTGGTGGGACCTGAGATAGTCTAACACTTACGTTTCATTGCTGTGGCTGAAAATGCAAACTTCATTACTTTTTAAACAAGTTGTTACATTCGTGGAAGTGAGGCATGCACTCATGTCCACACACGCGCGCACACACACACACACACCAGGGATTGAACTCAGGACATTGCACTTGTGTGGCAGGCACAGTGCCACTGAGCTCAATCCCTGGCCCACACTCAAGTTCTTAACAGGCATTGTGCAGTGCTGAGCATAGTGGCACAACCCTATAATCCCAGGACTCAGGAAGCTGAGGCAGCAGGATTGAGAATTAAAGACCAGCCTGGGTTACATAATGAGATTGAGACCTGCCTGGACTTTATAGTGAGGTTCTGTCTCAAAAAAAAAAAAAAAAAAAAATCAAAAGCAGTAGTGTGGGAGGGTATGTTTGGTCAGGGGCCAAAGGTGAATTTTTTTTATATATAAGAGAGTTGCGTGGAGAACCTTAGCCAACTTGGCATGAAGGAGGCAAACAGCATGGACTTCTCCATGCCTGGGGCAGGGTTCTTTGTGCAGAACTTGTGCCAACTGAGAGATGCCACCGTCCCCTGTGTAATTTTAGAATGTGCTGCAGCTGATAAGGCATTTTTCTACATAGCAAATGTTAGTTCACATAGATTCTTGACTCAAAAAAATGGAAAATATTTCTAAATACACCTCAAAGAGGACAATGAGCAGGGAAGGGAAGGTTGGTGTCTTCATTGAGTGCTGACTGCATACAGAGTCCACCTCTCCACCTTTCTACATCATGAGTAGGCTGAATCTTAGGTTTGTGAAGTTAGACACCTATGCTTTTAAAGCAAGAGCTATAAACAGGCAAGGAAGGCTATCCTCTGAGAGCCAATGGGAGAAATTATAATTCAAGCATTATATAAGCCAGGCTTGGTGATAGATGCCATAATCCCAGCACTTGAGAGGCTGAGGCAGGAACATGGTAAGCTCAGGGCCACCCTGGGCTATCTATGTAGTTATTTCAAGGCTGGCCTGGAGTATGTAGCCTCAAAAACAACTCTCTCTTCTGTCTGTCTGTCTGTCTGTCTGTCTGTCTCTCTCTCTCTCTCACACACACACACACACACACACACACACACAGCTTGACCTAAGTAGATCAAATCTTGAGGTGAGATAGATAAGGGAGCATGGAGTAGAATCCTTCGTGCCTTTTGGATGACCCTAATCTTATTCTGAGGGGATTGAAAATAGATGGGGAAGCCAGGCTTATATGGCATTATAGGTGCCGTAATCTCAGCACTCGGGAGGCTGAGGCAGGAGGATTGCTGGGAGTTCAAGGCCAACATGGGCTACATAGTGAGTTCAGGGCCAGCCTGAACTACAAAAAAAAAGAAAAAAACAAAATAGATTGGGAATACCCTATTCACCCTAGCTTTTTCTCTTCCCTTATTTTATTTCTCTCTTTTCCTCTGAGATTAAGGGGTCAGGCCTTAAAAGAGGGATTATTATTATGGGGGTAGTCTGTGGATGAAAATGGGAAGAGGATGAGAATATATTTCTTTTTCCATCCCTTCCTTGAACCTTAACCTTTGGGATGGATACAGTATCACTAAATCGTACTTTTAAATACTTTTGCCAGGCATGGTGACACATTTCTGTAATCCCAGCACTCAGGAGGCTGAGGCAGGAGGATCACTATGAGTTCAGTGCCAGCCGGGGCTACATGTGAGTTCAAGGCCAGGCTGAGTTACATAGCAAGATCCTGTCTCAAAAAACAAAAGAAAAACAAACACACAAACCCTTATTAGTTAGTCTTATTTGGAAAGCCCTGTTTTGTGACTGCAGTGGGTTTCCGGAGGCTTTTCTTGTGTACCTGAGGTTACAGTTCAAAGAAAAGGGGATGCTATAAATGGAGATGTTTGGAGGTAAAGGCGCTAGAGAAGGTTTGAGGGAGATTGTTTGGTTACTCAAGTTGACATTAAAGGCTATGGAGCATTGTCATCTGAACTAAGTGGATGTTTTTTAGTGTCTGACAAACACTAATGTCTAAAAAATTTTAAATACCAATTTCCAAAATTATATTGAAATGCAGAATTAATAGTGAAACCAGATATTCCTGTTTGGTGATCAGGGCATTATTTCCTTTCGGATTCTTGTACGTGGGAAATCAAATTACAATTAGAGTACCAACATGTAGTGAAAAATATCCACTTGGCTAAGTGATCAGATTCTTGTGTTTGTTGATTAGAGCATCTGTCCATACAGAGGCAAAGCTAGAGAGAGGGTTTCTTAGAGAACATGGATGCAGAGTAAGGTGATTGGTGGGAGAAGTTTAATGACTCCTGTCCTCCAACCAGTCAGTCTGACACTGCTGTCTCCGCTAGGGACAGAGCTCGGTTCCCACACTAGCACTGCAGGATATCTGCCACATTAGCCTCTTTGGACTCCCCTCTGATGGATGTTATACCCATCATTTCCTTTTTTTTTTTTTGGTACCGGGGATCGAACTCAGGACCTTGTACTTGCAAGGCAGGCATGGTGCCACTGACCTAAATCCCCGGTCTTCATTTCCTTTTTTCTAGCATGACTTTCTCAAACTGCTAATGGGGTTATTATTTCAGTATAGATCTTTTAGTTATAATCTTAATCTGCTGCTTCCTTCCAAGTATCTTTCATTGGATTTGTGGAGATCCCTGATAGTATTTTGGATTACTCATAGAGCCCTTATATTTCAGCTTTGGTCATTTCCACTTCAGAGGGAGCCCTAGTTTCATTGTTGAAGTAATAGGATTTGTTGGCCTTGTATACTCCAAACATGGCATCCATCAGAAATTGTGATCGCTCCTGAATGCAGAGGGTACAGAGTGAACCAGGCCATTGTCAGGAGGAGAGCTAAGTCTGTTCCCCAGTGACATGAGAGCTGCAGTCATTTTCTCTGATAAATAATTGAACTGTGCTTTCCAAGGGGGTCGCATTACAACAAGCAGGAGTGCAGAGTGTGAGAGGTTTGGTTACAGTAAGAGGAAGGGTGCCAGGGATGGACAGACCTCGCCTGCCTCCGAGACCCCTGCTCTGCGTCCAGGAGGTAGAGGTGGAGATGAGGGGCACCCAGGTAATGACCTGGCAGCAGTATGGGTCACAAGGCCTCAGTGAGCTGAAGATGGTCCCTCTCCTGTCCTGCTGGAAAGAATCCCAGGAAGCTCATAGTATCATTGCTTTAAATTCCAGATTTGGTCTTTTGGGACTTTCATATAGTGAAACTTGAGGGGTTTCTCAACCACTGGGGCCTGGAAGTGACTGTGGAATAAGCCACAGACAGTGGAGAACTCTGCTATTCATGGTCTCTCGGGATAGGGGACAGATAATGAAGAATTTATATTCATTAATCTTTTTCTCTCTTCTTTCCATGTCTTTGCTTTGGAGCAGTTATTACAGTAAGTATTGTGGAGGGGGGAGGTTGGAATTGTAGGTAATTTATAAGAAAAGGAGAAATAAAAATAAATTGTATCTGTGCTGGTGGAGGTCTTGGCTATTTTCTTCTTTCCCTTGTGTGATGTTTGGAGTTGTCAAAGCTGAGTCTTTTCATCCCTAATGAAGAACTTGCTAATTGGCCTGGTAGCTTCCTGCTTTAAGCTGCAGTTGGCTTGTGACTATCAGGTGCGTCCTGGCTCTGGGTCCTGCATGTACAGAATAACTGGAGACTCCCTGCTCCCCTCAAGTCATGCCTACTCAGGGTTACAGAAATTTCAGTTCGGTGACCTGATTGTGACATCTCTTTCACGTTGGGGCATCTGTTGACCCCAGAGAGCACTGCCCCTTGGCAAAATGGTGAAGTCAACAAAATTTCCCTTCTGTGACCAACCCCTTTGTCATTGCCCTTCCTCTCCACCCTTGGGCATGTTCATCCAAGTGCCTTGTACCTTCCAGGAAACTAATTCCTGTTGAGGGGTTAATAGGTTGATTCCTTCCTTTGAATAGTTCCATTTTCTTTTCTTTTTTACTTGTTCGAGGTTTGTTTTTTTGTTTTTGTGGTACTGGGGATCAAATTAGAGACCTTAAGCTTGCAAGGCAGGTGCGGTTCCACCGAGCTAAATCCCTGGCCCTGTTCCAGTTTTTTAAAAGCACTTAGGGAGAACCAGGGATTTAGCTTCTGTCGCCTGCCTTGAAAGTGCGAGGTCCTGAGTTTGATTCCCGGTACCCCTCCAAAAATAATCACTTAGGGGGCAGGGATTTAGCTTAGTGGCACCTCGCCTGCCTTGCAAGTGCAAGGTCCTGAGTTTGATCCCCAATATGGCAAAAAAACGTAAAAGCACTTAGGGAGGGAGACACAAAAGGTTGCCCTGGCAAAAATCTAGTTGGGGGAAAAGGACTGTGGTGAATAATTTTGGTTAGGTCGTCCTCTGTATTCTTTCCACACTTCTCATTAGCCATTAGCGCCTCTGTATAATGTTGTATGGAAGACTGGTTAAATACATGGATTCTGAAATTACAGTTAGGCCTAGCTCTTTGATGATCTCTGTGGCCTTGGACAAGTCATTTGACCGTTTTGAACTTTACTTGCCTCATCTGTGAAATGAGGGTGACCCTGTAGAGCTCCTAGGCTGACATGAGAGTTCACCTGGGCTAATGCATGCCTAGTGTATTTTGGGCTCACAGTCAGAGTAGCTGTTATTACCAGGCAAGGGTTGGAGTCTCCTGATGACCTGTAATCTAGTAATGGGAGATGGCTAATTTCCAGTTGTGAGCCTGGTGACTGTATGATGTTTTCTTCCCTCTTCCAGAATGAGTACATGAAAGAAGACTTTCTGATTAAAATTGAAACCTGGCACAAACCGGATCTTGGCACCCAGGAGAATGTAAGTAGTATATCCCAAGAGTCCCAGGGCGGTTTCCAGGCCCCAGAGCAGGGTCTCGAGGCTCTGCCTGTAGCCTCTCCATCCCTGCCAAAGGGTCTTCCTCTCTGTGGTCCTCTTTTGCCTGGCCAGGAAGGCAGTGCCCTCTCCTTAGCCCTGTCCTACCAGGACGGGATTGCCCTTCCTTAATTTGCAAAATATGATTTCCAAGATTCTTTACCAGGCCTTCCTATAGTGCTCAGATAGGTCTAAAATGCAGTTCCTGACACAAAGGAGCTTTTTTGTTTTGTTTACACAGCAAATTTAAACCCTCTAGAGCACAATTCACAGTCATTCCCAAAATTTGAAATATGCCCTTTTTTCCTCAGTAATTCCATGCCTAGGAACTTATCAGACATCTTTGTCACATACATGAAATAACATATACAAGGAGATTCATTGCTGTATTCTTTTGTGTAGCCAAAGGTTAAAAACAACACAAGAGCCTATCAGTAGGACATCATGAAATAAATTATGCAACCAAATAGTATACCATGCAGTCATTAAAAAGAAACAGCAGGAAGAATTCCAAAGATGTATTGTTTGCTGGACATGGTGTTGCACATCTGTAATCCCAGCACTTGGAGCTGAGGCAGGAGGATCACTAGATCGAGTCCCCTCTAGGTAAGTTAGTGAGAACTGTTTCAAAATAAAAAGATAAAAAGGGCTGGGGATGTAGCTTAGTGCAAAGGCCATGGGTTTAATCCCTAGTACTTCCCTCCACAAATTGTTCAGTGAAAAGAGCAAGATATGCCAGGGATTTAGCTCTGGTTCCAGTGTCTGCCTTGCAAGTACAAGGTCCTGAGTTCAATCCCTGGTACCAAAAAAAAAAAAGAAAAGAAAAGAGCAAGATATAAAATGGTACATTATATGTGTTAGTGTTGTATTAAAAGGAAAATCTATGCACATGGTTAGACTAGTGGTAGGTAGTGTCCATTACTGGAGTGGGGCTGGGGGACAAGCTGGAGAAAGAGTTACTCTTCCTTGTATCATTTCATTTTGAATTTGTGTCATAGTTTTATGTGTACATGTACAGTCTGATGAAAATCATTATGTGGCTAAGCAGGCAACATCTCCAGGAGTGTTTAGTCTTTTTTTTTTATTTTTGGTACTGGGGATCAAACTCGGGACCTTGCGCTTGCAAGCCAGGTGCTGGAACCACTGAGCTAAATCCCCGGCCCAGGAGCATTTAGTCTTTACTAAGGGACATTCAGAAACAATGTACAGCAGTTATTCTCATATTTATGTCTGTTTAAAGCCCAATCTCTCTACCTCAAACAACTAGGATTAGAAGTCCCATTTGACCCAGCTATTCCTCTGCTAGGTATCTTCCCAAAAGAATTAAAAGAATCATACCACGGTGATATTTATGCTCACCCATGTTTATAGCGGCACAGTCTGTAATAGCTAAAACTTGGAAACAGCCCAAGTGCCCATCAACTGGAGATTAGATAAAGAAGATGTGGTTTTTCTATAAAATGAAGTACTACTCAACCATAAAGAAAGAAACTAGAGACATTTATAGCTAAGTGGATGCACATTGAGGCCATACTCTTAAATGAAATAAATAGGACACACGTGTGTAAATACCAAATAGTTTCTCTGGTGTGAAAAAGTGAAAGTGTAAATAAGGATCAAAATGTATAATTGATATTGTGAAATAGGAAGAAAAGGTCTAAAGGAGTAGGGGAAAGAAAAGAAGGGAAGCTGGGAATTTAGCTCAGTGGTTTCACCGCCTGCTGCGCAAGCACAAGGACCTGAGTTCGATCCTGGGTACCAAAAAAAAAAAAGAGAAAAGAAAAAATACGAGAAAAGGAAAAGAAATGGAAACAAAGTCTTTGTAAATAGGGAAGGGAGGAGGGGTGAAGGGAGGGCAGGGGAATGGGGAAAAAATAAGAATCAAGATACGTCATGTAAAGGTACAAGATCCCAATGATGAATGTAACTATTGTATACCTAAAATGTACCAATAAACTTAATGAAGAAAAAAAAAATGATAAAAAAAAATAAAAGTCCAGGGGCCGAGGATTTAGCTCAGTGGTTTCACCACCTGGTGCGCAAGCATAAGGACCCGAGTTCAATCCCCAGTACCAAAAAAAATAAAAGTCCAGTCTCTCATTCCATTGTATAATTTTGTACAGATTGAGTATCTCTTATCCTTTGAGACCGGAAGTGTTTCACATTTCAGATTTCGGGATATTTGCTATACAAAATGACTTGCCTTGGGGATGGGTCTCAAGTATAAACAGCAAAATTAATTTATGCTTCATATACGCCTTACACATTCAGCTTCAAGATAATCCCCTTCTTCCTGCAGGTGCATAAGCTGGAGCCTGAGACATGGAAACATGTGGAACCCATATATATAGACATCGCAGATCGAAGCCAAGTACTTAGCAAGGTAGGATCTACTTAAAGATGCAGAAATGACTTCCAAATATCAGAGAAACGCAGGGAACTGAGACCCAGCTAGATTCAAAGGAAGTTCTCTTTGGTGTGTATTGCTTTTTGGATTTTTAGTTTATTTTATTTTGGGTTTTTTGAGACATGGTCTTACTATGTAGTTCAGGCTGTCCTTGAACTCACTACATAGCCCAGGCTGACTTCAAACTTGAGGTGATCCTCCTGCCTTAGCCCCCTGAGTGCTGGGATTACAGACATGTGCCACCATGTCTGGCTTGTTTGTTGTATTTTTAAAGTTAATATTAAGAATTCCCTTGTCTGGAGTTGGGAATTCTAACTCAGGAAACTAGTGGCTCACATTTATGTGCATCTTTGTGTTCTGGAAGTTATTCCTGAACAATGTAAGTGCTATGGGTAGGGTGTTTTGCCTTGCTGAAATGAAGTTCAGCCTGAAAAATTAGACCACTGGTTTTCAAATTTAGTTTTCTAGTCTAGTAATTTAAAGACATTTATTACCTCCCTTGGAATATTGTTAGTTTTTCTTGAGTTCCCAGTGAGGGGTACAGAATATGTGAAAAGACAGGTACCCTGTCCTCAGAAGTTGGTGAGTGACAAACACTGGAGCAGGTGCCTAGAAAAGGACAGTCCACTGCGAGGCCACTGCCTGGTGAGAACAGGAACCAGGCCTGTCCAGCTTGTTCAGTGTTAAGTTCCCAGGAAGAATCTGTTCAGGGAATAAAAGGGTTAGAGTCCGCCTCACCCTGGACTATGCTTTTTTTGATGCTTCTGATTCCCATTGGCAGACTACTCACCAGAACTTGGGGTATTTGCTTTTTTTTTTTTTTTTTTTGGTACTGGGGATCAAACTCGGGACCTTGCGCTTGTGAGGCAGGCACCGGAACCACTGAGCTAAATCCCTGGCCCAAAAGTAAATAAATAATAAAAAAGGAATCCCCCACAAGATTTTTTTTTTTGTACTAGGGATCCAACTCAGGCAGGACCTTTTGCTTGTGAGGCAGGCACCGGAACCACTGAGCTAAATCCCTGGCCCTGAAATTTTTTTTTTTTTTTTTTTTTTAAATCCTTGGTGCCTTTACCTGGAGGTATTCTAAGTCTTCTCTGGCAATTTGGATGGTCACTAGATTGAAAATCTCTGGGGTTTTTTTGTTTTGTTTTGTTTTTTGGTACCGGGAATCGAACTCAGAACCTTGTGAAAATCTGTTTTAAACACTGCAAATACAAGTGCCTGCTCAGGCAGTCTGGTGACACTTTCATACTGGTAAAATTGAAAACAAACCCTGGCAGAAATAAATCACAGGATGGTCCTTTGAGGGAAATGTAAACAGTTCTTCCTCCTATTTATAATGTTTTCCCATATATGTTGTATGCCAGCAGCATCAAGAACTGGTTATGAAGTGTATTCTAACTAAAAATCTGATCTTCTCCTCTCTCCCTCTCCTCCTCCCTCCTCCCTCCTCCATCCCGTCTGCCTCTCTTCCAATTCCTAATCCCACAATCTCAGGATTACAAGGCAGAGGAAGACCCAGCAAAATTTAAATCTGTCAAAACAGGCCGAGGACCCTTGGGCCCAAATTGGAAGGTGCAGTTCACCCCCTCACCACTGGGGGGCCGGGCGCGGTGTGGGTGGGCCTCTGCCCAGGAGGAAGGGATGCCCCCCCCTTTCCCGAAGGGCTCAGGGACAGCCTTGAGGTTTTTCTGCTTAGTTACTGGCCCACCCTTGGTATGTTTTTAATGCAGCAAGAACTTGTAAATCAGAAAGACTGCCCGTATATGTGTGCATACAAACTGGTTACTGTCAAGTTCAAGTGGTGGGGCCTGCAGAACAAAGTGGAAAACTTTATACATAAGGTAAGTGACCTGGGTGAGGCTCGAGTGTGTGTGTCTGTGTGTTGGTAAGGGGTGTTTCGCCCAGAGGAGATCATGCAACGCATGTGACCTGTATCCTAACTAGTTTGGTTTCCCTTACAGTTCATTGCTATCCATCCAGGGGAACCACATGTGACAGGGAGGGAAACAGGAAGGGACTTTCTATGACTGAACTGCAAATGAAACCTAGTTTCTCTTCTTGAATCCAAAAGGCCTAAGGCACCACGAGCCAAATTCTCCAGTGTTCTGAATTAATCAATGGGCAGAACCAAAGAGTTTTATAGCCTCATAATTTTTTGATGTGGTAGAGACGCACTTTTGAGCCACATTTCATAGCAGCTGGCCGGTTATAACTTGGTGTTAAGACCAGTGGCAGGGTGGAAATCTGGAAGTTGGTTGGGGGCCTTAGTTTGGATAGAAGCTCACAGACTGCCTGTCTTGGTAGTATGTACTTTGTGCAAAAGACCTAGATGTGAAGCAGACACCCATCCTTTCTTTCTTTTTGTTTATTTTGTGGTACCAAGATGGAACTCAGGACCTTGCGCTTTCGAAGCAGGTACAGGGGCACTGAGCTAAATCCCTGGCCCCATCCATCATTCCTTGAGGGCTGGGTGAGGCTTAAAGCCTCACCTTTTCCACACATCCAGGCAGAAGTCACTGGTCCATGGCTAGTACAGATAAGCCAGCCAGGCATCGGTTCCCTCCACCTTCCCAGTACTGTACAGTGTGGATACTGGCATAGGTGGAGGTCATGGGGAGGAGAATGTCACAGTGGCCTTCACCTTCTCAGTTCTAACTAAGTCCCCTCCTTTTTATAGCAAGAGAGGCGTCTTTTTACAAATTTCCACAGGCAGCTGTTCTGTTGGCTCGATAAGTGGGTTGACCTGACTATGGACGACATTCGAAGGATGGAAGAAGAGACAAAGAGACAGCTGGATGAGGTGAGTGGGATCCTAGAGGAGACTAGCTCTCAGTGAAATAAATACGTGGCTATGAAGGAGACTGTTGTGCTAAAACATGTCAGGGTCTGCTGTGGGTAAGGTACACTGCCAGCCATTATGGGAACTACAAAGAAGAAAACAGCCTGTTCTCTTAAATGTGCAGTCTAGTTGAGGTCTTGGCACACCCACAAAGACTGATATGACAGTAAGTGCCAAGTGAGTAATGGAGCCGCTGCAGTCATCTCTGAGTGTGTGTGTGGGGGTGCCAGGCTGCAGAGCTGGAGGTGACCCTGGGAGGAGACCGGCTGGGCTGATCCACGAATACCATACGCGTTACCCACAGAGGACAGCAGTGACACACACAGAAGCTGACAGTTCTAGACAGCTGTTTTGAGTTTGGAACTTTTGCTTTTTTAATTTTATTTTTGGCCTTGGCACAGATCCCAGAAGGAGAGCTCTCTGCCTGCTCCACAGGAGCTTGAAGACCCAGCACTCCTGCCTCATTTGGGAAGGCTTACCTGAAAGGGCCACTCACAGGAGGTGGCCCATGAATGACAGGCGCTCCCTGTGTACCGGGCACTGTTCCAGGGACTGTCAAATACACTGTCTCCTGTAGTCATCACTACACCTGGGAGGGGTCAGGTGACACAGTCAGCGTAATAGCCCAGCACTGTCTGCCCCAGAGCCGTTGCTCACCTCTACTTCTCCCTCAAGGTGTCATTTGGAGCCCTATTGCCCTCTTGGGGCTAAAAACAAAGCAGGAAACTGTTTCTTAAGAGCTATTGTTTCTCCCCCTTTGCCCAGGGTGGGGGTTGGCATGGAGCCTAGGGCTCCAGAGGCCTTGCTTTGCAGCAGCCCCACTCAGCTCTCCAGCAGGGCCTCAGGTGAAGAACAGGCCTGGGCGGCTGGCCCTGGTGCTCAGAATTTGACAGTGCTGGCCTGGGGGGAACCTGGGCCCAGAGTCCTCCAGCCCTCTGGAGCCCCCTAGGGAACTGTTTTTACCACCCAGGTGACATTTTCCTGGGCTGACTCACTGGTAAATGGCTACCAAATTCCTGCTGAAGGTGGGGTTTTGGTTATCCATTCAGCTACATTTGGCAGTGAAATGGCAGGATTTGGGGGCACAGTCCCTAATTTTTCTGCTAAAGACCTGAGGAAGAGGTAGATTGGAATGTCCAGGACTCTGGCAATTCGGTGTATACCAGAGAGGCCTAAGACTTAGAGTCACCATAGTCCTGACGCAAAGGAAAAAGTTACCAATGGAGCAACATGGAGACTTTCACTGGGGCTTAGCCTTAGCCACCCACTGCCCCACGAAGGCCAATAATAATGAACAGTGAACGTACAGAAGTGTTTGCTGTTGTCCTTTCACCCAGTAGAATTCAGTATCTTAGAGCTCTTAGCATGTACAAGGTCCTGAATTCAGTCTCCAGCCCCCAAAAGAGACAGCGGTCCTCAAATTCTTGCAGCTAGAAGAACTCTCCAGGGGATCTACTGGATCTGGCTTTGTCAGATCCAAAATCTCAGAGTTGGTTTGGTTTTTATTTTGGAACTGGGGATCAAACTTGGAACCTTGCACTTGCAAGGCAGGTGGCAGAACCACTGAGCTAAATCCCCAGCATAGTTGGTTTGTTTTTTAACCCCCAACCTTTAATGTTTCTCTGTTCTGTGGAAGATTGTGCCAAAAGCTTGAATGATCAGTGTCCTTCAGGGTAGCTGCAAATGGAGAAACCTCTTTGCAGTAGAAGAGGAAGCAAGCCTGAATGCACATCATTGTGGGACATTTTAACCTCATTAGCAACTGTGCAGGACCTTTATGTGCTACCTGTACCCCTGGCTTCCTTGTCTTGTTTTATTCTTAGTCTAAATACATATTTGTTGGGCAGTGGGTGTAGCTCAGTGGTACAGCACTTGCTTAGAATGTGCAAGACTTTGGGTTCAAAGAGCTGGGCATAGTGGTGCACACCTGTAATCTCGCACTTGGGAGGCTGAGGCAGGAGGGTCATCAGGAGTTTGAGGTGATTGTGGGCTGTATAGTAAGTTTGGTCAAGCCTGAATTACATAGTGAGACCTAGTTTTGGAAAACCAAGGAGAAAAAATAGGACCCTAGGTTCAGTCCCTTGGCACCTCACACAAAAATAACCATGTATTTGTTTTATCAAAGTTTTAGTTTTATAGTTTTTTGTTGTTTTGTTTTGTTTTGGGACAGGGTCTCACTATGTAGTCCAGGCTGCCCTAGAACTCACTATGTAGCCCAGGCTGGCCTGAAACTCATGGCAATCCTCCTGCCTCAGCCACCCTAGTGCTAGAATTGCAGGCCTATACCAACAAGCTCAACTATTTTTAGGTTTTTTTGTTTTTGAGACAGGGTTTCAACATGTAGTTGAGGCTGGCCTTTAACTGTAGTCCAGGCTGGCCCCAAGTGGTGATCCTCCTGCCTCAGCCTCCCTGTAGGATTACAGGCATGCACCACCACCCCCTGCTGTTTTTAATTTTGAAACTCAGATAGTATCCTTGGCTTATGAGGAAGAAACTACTTGTAGGCCCCAGGGGCCTAGAGATAGGTCCTCGCAATTCCAAAGTTTTTCGCTAACTACTCTCAGATTTTCAAATCATATGCTTATGCTCTTAATTCTTTTTATTTTTTTCCTGCAGTACTGGGGATTTAACATAGGATATTGCTCATGCTAGGGAAGCACTCTACTACTGTATCTCTAACTATATCTGTATCTACTGCTATATCTCCAACACTGTTTTGGGGGGTTTTGTTTTTGGTTTTTTTGCCTCATTTGGAGACAGGGTCTTGTTAAGTTATGTAGGCTGGCCTACAGCTTAGATTCTTTCTGCCTCAGCCTCCCAAGAAGTGAGATTATAGGAGTGTACCACCACACTGTGCCTAGTTTATGTACCCAGCCCCCCTTTTTTTGGTGCTAGGGATTGAACTCAGGGCCTTTGCACATGCTAGACAAGTGCTCTTCCACTGTTCTTCCCCCAGTCATTTTAATTTCTTGTTTTGAAACAAGGTCTGGCTAAATTATGTAGGCTAGCTTCATACTTCTAATCCTCTTTCCTTGGATCCTCTCACCTGAGTTACTGGGATTACAGACATGTGCCGCTGTGTGGTTTTATGGTTTCAATTTTTTTTTTTTTTTTTTTTTTGAGACAGGGTCTCACTATGAAGTTCAGGCTGACCTCGAACTCACTTTGTAGTCCAGGCTGGCCTATAACTGGTGGCAGTCCTCCTGCCCCAGCCTCCCAAGCCACCCTGTCAAGCTATGCTCTTAATTCTTTGTTTCTTGTTTTGTTTTTTTTTTTGAGGTACCGGGGCTCAAACTCAGGACCTTGTGCTTTTGAGGTAGGCATGGTGCCACTGAGCTAAATCCCCGGCTGTGGTCTTAATTCTTAATTTCTCAAATTTAAATAGTAACTGTTAGCTTCTTCCTATGGGAGATTTTGTCTTCCACTAGCATCCTTCCCTTGTTCAACCTTCATATCACAAGCTTTGGTTAATTCATTATTCACCACTCTTATTATGACTGTCATTTTTTTTCCCCCAACTGAGCCCTGAATTCTACTTTGATATTTCTTTCTCATGCTGTTTTTAAAAATAACATTAAGCCCAGGGATTTAGCTCAGTGGTTTTGCCACCTGCTGTGCAAGCACAAGGAACCGAGTTCGATCCCCGGTACCAAAAAAACCCCACATTAAACCAAGTGTGGTGGCTCATGCCTGTGATCCCAGCACTCAGAAGGCTGAGGCAGGAGGATTGCAGGCAAACCTGGGCTACATAGTAAGTTCAAGCCCAGCCTAAACTACATAAGTGAGATCCTGTCTCAAAAAACAACCAAAAATCAATAATTGCCTCTCCTCTTTTTGTTAGCTTAGTTTCCTGTGTCTGTGTCATTAAGTTTTGCTGTGTGTGGGTGATGTGTGAGGGGCACTGCAGCACAGTGTTGTTACTGGGCCATTCTCACTCATTTTGCTCCTACTCTGCTGGCACTGTGAATCAAAAGATCCCCTTGGTTCTGGAAAACGTTTTTGGACTATTTGATAATTTTCTCCCTTCTGTTTTCTTGTTCTCCCTGAATTTTTATTCATGAATTGACCTTCTTAATTTTCTTATGGCTTTTCTCTGTCTCTTTTCTTTTTCATTGTTAACTTCTGATGAGTTTTTTAAAAATTTTGTTAAGCATTTCTTTTTGTTTTGGGGGGTTTTTTTGGTACTGGGGATCGAACTTGGGACCTTGTGCTTGCGAGGCAGGTGCCAGAACCGCTGAGCTAAATCCCTGGCCCTTGTTAAACATTTCTTATTTTGTGTTTTTTTAAAATAGTTTATTTCCTATATGCACTAGCTTCAGTTTCTAAAACTATGAGGTTGTGTTTGTTTATTTATTTGCTTGAGACAGGAGCTCATTGAGTACTCCAGGCTAATCCAGGCTGGCCTTGACCTCACAATCCACTTGGCTCAGTCTCCTGAGTGCTGGGACTGCAGGTGTGTGCCACCATGCCTGGCAAGAATAGGTTTTTGATTTTTGAGGTTTCTCTCTACTCCCTGAACTGTGAGGGTTTTTTTCTTTTTTGTGGGGAGGGGTACCGGGGATTGAACTGCACTTGCAAGGCAGGCTCAGTGCCACTGAGCTAATTCCCCAGCCCCTTGAACTGTGAGTTCTTCTGTTCATTTCACACTGGATGCTGTTTGATGTAAAGAACTTTCTTCAGGTCAGGAGAGGGCTTCATTGTGGAGAGTCAGGTATTGATGGGGAACCTGAGTCTTTTGAGGGTGCTGCTCATTGTGCCTCTGGAGGACTCCTAGTCTCCTCAGGTGGATAATGGGGCGGCCAGCATTCTGGGAGCCCAGGTGAGGAAGGACTGTGGCGGGCTCACCAGGCCGTCAGATGGCTTCACCTTAATCCCTTCCTGTGCTGCACTTGCCATTTTGGCCCTAGCTAAACCTGAAATCCCAAGTCCATGCTTCCTTCAGTGCCTCCAGAGAGGGAGCCTCCTAGCTTTTGCTGTGACAGGAGGGCAGTGACTGCTTGATTTGGAGAGCAGGGAGGGCCTGCCTGTTCTCTATTCAGACTTTAAAACACAGTGGCTGTTCCTGACCACCCCGGGACCCCTACTAGCAGGAGGGCCTTTGCCCCAGCTCCCGAGCCTTGATTGGTCTGCTCCTGCTGAGATCCTGCCCTCTTGGAGCTCTCATATCTCAGCCTCTGCTGATCTGTGAATGAGTTACTGTCCATGCCTCTTTTTTCCATCTTCCACAATGTTGGCATCTCTTTTTAAAATTCATTTATTAGTATATGTTTGGGATGCATGACTGCTTTCTGGTTTTGGGGGTTTGTTTGGTTTTTTTGGTACAGGAGATTGAATGCAGGACCTTGTGCTTGTGAGGCAGGTGGCGCCACTGAGCTAAATCCCTGGCCCTTAACTCTTGTTTTTCTGTCCCCTTCCCCACTGCCTTGTTGCCATCTCTTATTTTCTGATGTCAACTCTGTTTTTATTGTCTTCGTGGAGAGACAGACATGATAGATGATAGATAGATAGATAGATAGATAGATAGATAGATAGATAGATAGATAGTTCCTTTACTTTCACCATACTAGGTTTTGGGGAGGAATAGAGATAAATGCAGGTATTTAATCTGTCATTCATTGCAAGCTTGCAATAGGAATTATGACTCCTTTTTTTTTGGTACCGGGGATCGAACTTGGGAAGTGTGAGTTTTGAAGGGTCACTATAAGGCCACCATCTACACGGCAGCGAATCTAGTCTCTGTGGGAGGGTAGAGTCACAGTTCTTGGGTGAAGCTCAAAGATTTGCAAAACAAGGGATCAAGAGATTAATTTCTTGCCCTAAAAAGAAAAATGTCAGGATGGGCCAGGGATTTAACTCAGTGCCTGCCTTGGACACGAAAGGTCCCGAGTTCGATCCCCGGTACCAAAGAAAAAAAAAGGAAAAATGTCAGGAGATGTGTATTTGTAGGAGAGCAGCTTCCCCTCCTCCTCTCTTCTATCTCTCCCGTCTCTCTCTCTGTCTCTCTGTCTGTTTCTACTCCTCCTCCTCTTCTGTCTTCCTCCTCATCTTCCTTGCTCTCCCATATTTTTATTTTTTAGAGGTTTATAATCTTAAAAGTGGAAGGAGGTCCCTTAAAGGTATACAGTGGACCCTTGACTTACGAACTCAATTCATTCCCAAGGGCTAGTTGTAACTCAGGTTGGTCAATTGTTTTCAGTCTCTCTACTGTATAATTTTAGGCTACACTTTCTTCTAGGCAGATCTCAGTGTCCTTAGAGAGAGACACTGGCCCAGGATTTCTCAACGCCACAGGAAAAGATGTTGTAATGTTCCTTCCACAACTCTTGGTTTTTTTGTTTTTTGGGAGGGGGCATACCAGGGATCAAACTCGGGTCCTTGTTCTTGCGCAGCAGACAGTGAAACCACTGAGCTCAATCCTCTCCTTCCAGAACTCTTTAAGGGTTAAATCTGGATCTGAGACCATCTGGAGGAAGCACAAGTGGCCAGCCTGGGTTACATAGTAAGTTTAAGGCCAGTCTGCACTACATAGTGAGATATACTACTATCTATCTACTATCTATATACTACTATCTCAACAAAACCAAAAAAAAATTCACAAGTAGAATTAAAGAATTTAAGGGTTTAATTTATTACCAGATTCATTGTTGTTGTTGTTGTTGTTATTATTATTATTATTATTATTATTATTATTATTATTGGCTTTTTGAGACAGGGTCTCACTATGTAGCTTAGGTTAAACTCAGACTTGCTTGGGCCGGGGATTTAGCTCAGTGGTTCCGCCGCCTGCCTCACAAATGCAAGGACCCGAGTTCAATCCCTGGTACCAAAAAAAAATATCAAAAAAACTTGCTTCAATCCTCCTACCTCAGTTTCACAGATGTTGGGAATACAGATACGTGTGCCACCATGCCTGGTCAGATTTTCTTTTGGTACCGGGGATCAAATTCAGGTCCTTGAGCTTGTGGGGCAGGTGGCGGCATCACTGAGCTAAATGCCCAGCCCCAGATTTTCTTACTAAAAAGTACATAGTTGTAAAGAATGGCTTTTCAATAAGATTTGAAAATAGCAAGTGTTTGATACCTGTGTTTCTTCAGAAGTATTCATTGATTTTTGGATGCTTTGTGGTGCTTTAGAACTGATTTTTTTTTCCCCCAGTTTTATTTTTAAATTTTATTTATTTATTTTTGGTACTGGGGATCGAACTCGGGACCTTGTGCTTGTGAGACAGGTGGCGGAACCACTGAGCTAAATCCCCAGCCCACCTCAGTTTTATATTTTACTGAACTTTTTATTTTCAGACAATGGTAAGATTCAGGTATATTGGTAAGCAATAATACAGAAAGATTTGTGTACACTTTCTGTAATTTCTACCAATGATAACATCTTGCAAACTCTACTACAATGTCATAGCCAGGATATTGCTATTGATACTTTGGGTAATATTTTCTCCAGTCATGTTAGATTGTTTTATACTTAATGGTAAAAATGACTTTTTTTTTTGATACTGGGGATCGAACTTAGGAAAAATGGTATTTTTAAACTGGAGATTGAACCCAGGTCCTTTGCACTGAACTGCATCCTCACACCATTCTCCCCCCCCCCTTTTTAAATCAGGATCTCATTAAGTCACTAAATTTCCCCATCTGGGCTCAAACTTGGAATCCTCCTGCCTCAACCTCCTACAGTACTACGATTACAGGTGTATGTCACCATAGCTGGTTGGTAAAAATGCTTTTCAAAAGAAAAATATTTTAGGGCTGGGGATTTGGCTCAGTGGTTTCAACGCCTGCTACGCAAGCTCAAGGACCCGAGTTCGATCTCCAGTACCAAAAAAAAAAAAAAGAAAAAAATTTTAAAATGGAATTCCAGATAAATTAATATATAGATTAATTTATAGAAGAATATATAAATTCCATTCAGCTAACCCTGCTCTCATTCCTAGTGAGCAACACTGTTAAAACAAGACCTGACACTGTACTTGCTCTTCCAAGGTGGCCCGCTCTTATGCTGTAGGGTCTACTTCTTTTCCTGCTTTTACTTGACCCAAACCCGTCACTCTGCAGAGCCTATTTCCTACCTTTAATAAAACTTTGCTGGGCCGGGGATTTAGTTCAGTGGTTCTGTTGCCTGCCTTGCAAGCGCGGGGTCCCAAGTTTGATCTCCAGTACCAAAATAAAAAAACAAAACTTTAGGGCCAGAGATTTAGCTCAGTGGTTTCGCCGCCTGCCTTGCAAGCACAAGGACCCGAGTTTGATCCCCAGTACCAAAAAAAAAGCAAAACTTTGCTACCTTTTGTGCTCATCTTGACCAATTCTTTGCTCAGGACAGAAAGAACCTAGAAATCACTTCCAGAAGGAGACTCCAGCCCCCACAAAACCCAGTAACAGAAGGACTGTTTCCAACAGTATCAAGGGTACTGGACCCGATCAAACAAAGACATTGCATGAGCTTCCAAAGTACACTGGGCTGTCCTCAGAACTGAGATACATGGACATAGAGCCACTCCAACCTGTTGAAAGCATTCCCAGGTGGCATCTTCAGAACCAGCCTCACAGTGGAATCAAACACAAGGGTTCCTGCATTCTCCCTCGTGTTCAGAGTCTTCTATGGGAATTTTTTTTTTTGTCTGAGACAGAGTCTCCCTTGTAGTTCAGGCTGGCCTTGAACTCACAGGGATCCTCCTGCCTCAGCCCCCCAAGTGGTGGGATTACATGGGTGTGCCACCACACACAGCCACTGTCTTTGGAAACTTATCTGCCACTCTTGCAGTGTATCAATAAACACTAACTTTTCCATTGAAACAAAAAATAGGATTAGCATTTCTATTTTCATATACACCTCTCATGTCACATAGGCCCCAGGAAATAGGAAATAACCATTCTTATGACATTTCCCTGTAAGAATAAAACAGTTGTTTCTGTGGCACCCTCTCAGGGGGACCTCGTCTCTGATGGGGGGAAGCCATCAAGTTCCCTGATAGGAAGTACATTCTTTTTTTTTTTTGGTACCGGGGATCGAACTCGGGACCTTGCACTTGCAAGGCAGGTGCTGGAACCACTGAGCTAAATCCCCAGACCAGGAAGTACATTCTTATTAAGATGGCTCCGCAGTAATATTATTGCTAAGTTGTCGTTGAATGCTGGGGCCAGTGACAGAGGTAGAAATGGTCTAGCTTTGGCTGTATGTATTCCAAATTCTATGGAGGTTTTTGCTTTGTGCATAAAAACTGCTCCATTCTATGTTAGCGGTATTGATAAGGCAGGTGGTATTCGTGGTGCAGTTCTGTCCACAACAAGAGCCCTCAATTTTCCCTGTTTTTTGGTTTTTTTTGTTTTTTCTATTCCAGATGAGACAAAAGGACCCAGTGAAAGGGATGACAGCAGATGACTAAAGCCACCCCTACCCTTTCTGCACTGTATGTACTTTATTTCTCACTGTGCATGTCATAGAAGCAAAAATTCGGTTTGGGTCCTCAAGGCCTCAGTGGCTCACCATGGAGTCAGAAAACCGACCTCACCCCTCATCTTTCACTGATGGCTGCCATGTTAAACGGCGAGCTCTCAGGCTTCCACTGAAAAGGATTGTGGGTTCTGAGGCTGTGGATGCAGAAGCAAAGCTTATGTGCCATTAATCATTTCCCCTCTTGCAACTCGAGCCATGTTGAGGAGACACCAGCATGCTTGTGGCCATCCTGTGCTCCTCATGTTAAAGCCAGTTCCATACTGCTGAATACTGGCAGGCATTCCCTGCCCTGCCCCTGAAAAATCTGCTGGCCAAACAGATTTTATAAGCATTCTCCATTGTGTTTGGTTCTTCATTTCCTTCTCTATGCCCCAGGCCCCATACTAAGTAACAGAGACACCGTCTTTCAGATGCTGGGGTAGTACTTCTGCCAGGTCATAGGCCCAGAAGTGGGGTATTGCTTGCTTTATATTGTCACTTCCCCAAGGTGCTTCCTTTTGTTAGCTCCCAGTGCTGTCTCCTCAGTACCCTGCACACCTACATACTCAAGTTATTGTTGCAGCCCAGAGTGGTCATGAATGAAAAACTTGGCCTTGCTCTCAAACTGAGAAAATGATTTCATCAAATAAAAAATTGGCTGTCCAATGCAAACCTCTGCATGCTCTTGCTGCCTGTGTCCTTAAAGCAGCTTCTGATAGCTGGAAGGGTAGGATTAAGTGGAATCTTGCAATGCCAGCTTCCTGGTCACTGCTGGGGCCTTAGTGTCCTCTCCCTCATTCCCCTTCCCACCAGCTGGCATCCTTCTGGCTCTTGAAATTTCTCTGTTCAAGATGGTTTACAGTGTGCTTCTGTCTTCCTCTGTTGCTTCCTTAATAATTGTATTTCTCTTCTAGTTTTGCAAGACAGTGGTCAACAGGAAGGCCCAGCAGCTCCACCCTCCTGAGTGACAGGCCATCTTCGGACGCAGCCTTTCTGTGCCTATTCTTCAGGCAACTTTTGATCCCTTACCGTAGCTAATTATAGATACCCTTTAATATTGTGAACAAATAGACCGTCCGGTATTACAAAGCCCACGTGTGCAGGAGCCTGCTCCTCTGAGATATGTGGCGAGTAGGTTGCTGTATTTACAGCTCCTCCCTCTCTCTCCATTGTGTTCTGACCCATTTCTGTGTACCCCCCATCTTATTTCTAAGTGACATTTTTAGCCTTTCAAAATAGCTGCCTTTTGTGATGTGGTGATTTAAGTTCCTTTGTTTTCAACCTTGAGATAAACTGTAATATTTTTGCTTGCTGGGCAGATCTTTGCAATTTTGAGTGCTAACTTGGGGAGAGAGGATGAGTTAGAAATACAGAATTCCTACCTTCCCAGTTCCACAGAATAGCAATGTGGCTCATAACTCTGAACTCTGCTCCAGTTGTTAGAGTGCTCTAAGCACCAAGGAAGTAGCCAAGGCCCAGCCAGTCTCTGTTTAAGATAATTTAACAAATATGAATAATCCCTGTCCCAGTCTTTGTATCTCTGGCCATTGTTCTTAGAAACAACTGTAGCTTCTTGGCCCTCCTGTTGCCCATTGTGTCTGAATCCTTCTGCAGAGCCTACAAGGCACCCTGGTCACCTCTCCACCTGGAGGGACTTGTCCAGTGTGGCCCATAGAATTGAGTCTGTCCCATAGATATTGATCCATCTGACCCCGAGGAGCCTTATATGTCCATGCTCCTCTTCCCTTTTGGGCTGGTGCTGCCACTCAGCAATAATCCTCTTTTCTCTGTGCTTTCTTAGATCCCTATCCTCTGTCTTTGAGGTTGGTTAGAATGCAAGAGTCCTGATCTCTTCATGCTGCACACAATGAGCATGCAAAAAGCTTTCTTTTCCAGCAGAACATGTAACCTCTTGTCTTCAGTCATTGGAAAGGAATTTGAAGAAAAAGAACTCAGCTCATCCTGCCCCCGTGCTGAGTTCTGTCCTGGACAATCAAAAGCAAGCAGTGATCATAGTCTAGAATTCTACCAAAGTAGGCTGGAGAAGTCCAGGTTCCAGGGGAGGAGAGGCTGCTGAGTGCCTCCTAGTTCCTACAACTTGGTAGAACCCGAGTATGCCTTCCTGGTGGGAGAATCTGAGACAGCTGCAGTGTCACCTGACCATTCCCAAACCTTGCGAAGTTATGTCAGCCTGAGCATGCAGTCATCCAGTCCCATGCTAGCCTGGGTGCCTCTTGCTGAGAGAGACCAAATCTCCCTTGGGAGAGCGAGAAGTGGGATGGGCTAATTTATCCTTATGATTTTATCAGTTTGTTTGCCTTACCTTACTCATTTCTAAGTGCAATAAGGGAGCGTCTCACAGGATTGCACCTGGGACATCCTAATGGATGGTTTCCTATGGCCTTCCAAGAGCTGACAGATTCAGACCCCTCAGCGTTAACTCTGACCTTCACTGAGGTCCCTTTGGAACCAGAGATGTCCTCTTAGAAGCACTTTTCCTCTGTATGTCTCCCCACTTTGCTGGGTCCTTAGTAATGGACCTGGGCATTCAGTTGGTGATTAGCATCTCAACTGCTGTTATTGTGTATTGGACTGGGAAAGTTGAAGAAGAGGCATTCCTACAGGAGAAAAATGTAAATGTTTTCCTACAAGCTCTGTATTACCTATTAATTATATTTGTGCTTAAAGATGTTCCTTCTTCATTCGTCAACTAGGTGAGTTATCTTGGGAGAAACTGATACTATAAGCAGACATTTGTTAACATGGGGTGAGGATCAGATGTTAGTCTCCTTCAGCTTTTCTTTGCGATCCACACGTATCATATCTGCTCTCATGAGGGCTCACTCTTTATCTACCTTTTCTCTGGGTCCTCCACTTCCCACTCCCACCCCAACTGAAAACATCCGAATGAGCTGAGCTACAGTTTCCTGAGATGAGCCTGGATCTGGGGCTCCTGGCCACAGGAAAAAGGAGGAACAAACATTCCTGGTATTCTGTTCTCACAGACTGTGTTGCTGCTAGGCAACCGTGTTGGCTTCTTTTAAGAACTCCATCCCTCCTCACCCATCCCAAACTGTCTAACACTCGGAGGGGCTTCTGAGCAAAGTCTCGGCTCCGAGGGGAGAATACCTGAGGGTGCACCACACCCCTGCAGAGCAGCTGCTTCCTTTAGACTTCCAGAGACTGCAGCCCAGCTGAAAGCAGCAGTGCTTCTGCATGAGGGCTTCTGGGCTCTGGCCTCACCAAGAGAGGGTGAGGGCAGGGTCAGTATTGTGGGCATGTGTCTATCTTCCCAAGTTCTCCTTTTACAGTCCCCACTGGGACTCCCCGACTTATTTTGGTTGGTTCCTAGTGCTACTTTTACAAACTACACTTTGTAGAAATGATTAGATTACTTTATTTAATGTGAGTTTGTGCCTTTTTTGTCTCAATCTTCCAATACAAGTATATTGGGCGAAAAAGCAGTCTAATAAAATCCTAGACAGAGCTTTCTGGAGTCCAGCTTACTGGTGGTGTTCTTATGTCCATTTTACCACTTAGTATCCTCAGACTCTTTCTGATGTGCCCCCTCCCCTTTATCAGGGCAGGATTAGGAAAAGGTACAATGACATGCAAATTTTTGCAGGTGATTTACACTAATTAAAATATTCCTTTGTCAATTTATGCATTATGTATCTAAATGTAATTTAGCCATTTCTAGTGGCAGTGTTTCCTTTTTGCTTTGGTCTCACTTCCTCTTCACATATCCCTCATCCACCCTACTAAGTGAAACATTTAAGGTAGGAAGGTTTGGTTTGGTTTTTTTTTTTGGTACTGGGGAACAAACTCACCTTGCGCTTTCGAGGCAGGTGTTGGAACCACTGAGCTAAATCCCCAGCTCTGTTTTTTTGTTTTGCAACAGGATTTCCCTGTGTTGCCTAGGCTGGCCTCAAACCTCTCCAGTCAAGCTATCCTACCTGAACCTCCTGAGTGGCTGGGACTGCTGGAGTGCGGCAACGTGCAGGCTTAAAATAGGACCTTGAACTCGCAGTGATCCTCCTCCCTCACCTCCTGAGTGCTGGGATTACAGGCATATAAATAGGCTTTAAAGCCAGCTCTTGGGAAGCTGAGGCAGGATTGCCACGAGTTCAAGGCCAGCCTGAACTATATAGGGAGACCCTGTCTCAAAAAACATAAATAAAATAGTCTTTAGTCAGACATAGTGGCCCACACTTCCTGTCCTAGCACCCCGGAGGCTGAAGCAGGATTGCTTCGAGTTAAAATGAGGCCAACCTGGGCTACATAGCTTAACATCCTGAACTACACAGCAAGAACCTGTCTCCAAAAACAAGAAAAGTCCTTGCCAGGCGTGGTGGGCCCATGCCTGGAGGATCACCATGAGTTCCAGGCCAGCCTGAACTACAAAGTGAGACCCTGTCTCAAAAAATAAAGAGGTTTTTTTTTTGGTTTTTTTTTGGTACCGGGGATCGAACTCGGATCCTTGCGCTTGCGAGGCAGGCGGCAGAACCGCTGAGCTAAATCCCCGGCCCCAAAATAAAGGTCTTTAATCTGGCATCAGGGTGTGTTAACTTTATGAAGCTTGTTGTAAATTTGTGCATTTTTCTGGGAGAAAGTCATGACTTTCAGTGGAAGGCCACATAACTCTCCCTTGCTCCCCCCCCCCCAGATTTAAAAACTGACTTAAACGAAATTGTAGTCTTTTGCCAAGTTCATTTCATGTTTACTGTTAAATGTAGACCAGAAGACTTATTTTTCATTCCTTAATGGGCAGCTATCCAAGAGCCCAGGAACCCCATAATGTCTCAGGTGTAAGAAAGAAGTAAAACAAGGAGTTTGAAAAGAATGCAGGCGCACCATGACCAACGTAAGTGGGGAGGCCAGGTCATAAGCACAATAGTGACTTTGCGTGCCCCTAGCCGGGTCTGGCCCTTGAGTCCGAGCGTGAGACGCGGGAGAACATAGCACCGAAGTGAGAGCAGTGGCGAGCCAGGTAGCGCTCAGACTCGTGCAGGCGAGGCGGTGATTTCCGCCGGAAGATGCCCCCTTTTCGGCCCCGCGCAGGGCAGACTGGGAGTGGCGGGTAGGTGGGGCTCTGGAGCCGCCCGCTCTCCTGGCGGCATGGACCTGGGCATTGTTACTCGGGTTCTGTTGACAGGCAAGACACTCCTCTCTTACGTCCCAGCCCCTCTGCTCTCAACCTGTGATCATTTAGTGTCTGTTGGCTTGTCCCGCCTCTTTACCCCGAACCGCACCACCCACAGCCCTCGGCGTAGCAAGAACCGCCCCTTACGGAAGCCGAGGCGGACGGTCAGAATCCGGAAGAAAAACAACCAGGAACTAGTGAGGCGTTGAAGACCTGCTGCCCGAGGGGTTGCTCGGGAGGGGATCACCTTAGCCAGGGAGACGCGAGCCTGCTGGGCCTCTGCGTGGGGATGATGGCCGCTGTGAGGCAGCGGAAGCTGTCTGCGGCAAAAGAGATGAAACTCAGGTAAGGAGGACATCTGCGAGTGGGCCGGCCTGGCCGGGGAAAATCTTACTGCACCCCTATAGAGATTGCGGTCCTCTGGGAAGAACCAGACAGGACGGGCCCACTACATGGTTGCTCCTGATTTGGAAGCCCATTTACATCCTTCCAGACCAATGTCTGGATTATATAGGATCTGTGACGCGCGCATTCCCTAAATTTAGGGTCCGGAGCTCGTTCCCGCTGGGGCGTCCGGAGCAAGTGACCCTATTGGCCTTTGGAGAAGACACCTGTGCTAGGATATTAAGAACATAATGCATTCGCCCCTTAGCCCTAGACTAGAAGTTTTACTCCTACTTTTCAAAAATCAGTACATACACCTTGGGAGCTGCCTAATCCGGAAATAAAAATCAGATTTAGGTAAGTTCTTTTAATGAACTCATGCTTGCACTCATTCCTGGTCTCATGCTTGCTTTTTCACGAGGAACAACGTAATCACCAACTTAGTGTAAGTCACGATGCACGAATTTACTGCTAATCTCAGACTTGAGAGTGGGGACAAGAAATCCCGACTTTTGTTCTCCATCCAGGAAGAACAAGTCCCTGGGGAAACAAGGAACCTTTGAGTTAAAGGGCTGCCTTCCTTAATCCTCTGTTGGACAGCAGGGGGAGATCGTAAACAAATGAAGTAAGCAATCTCACAGTTCCAGAGAAGATGGTTTTTGCATTATTTTGTTTACGTTCAAGGGAGAGGCAGGAAGTTGCTTAAAGACGGCCAAGAATTTTTTCAAGTCATGCTTTTTAGGACATGGACCTCTAAGAACAAGGTCTAGTGGAGAAGACATGTTTTGAAACAACCTGCCCTTCCAGGCCCCCTTTACCCTCCCCTGGCCCCATTCTGGATCTTCATTTGCTTCACTCTTTCTCATAGTGTTCTTGAGATTTACAGGAATTTTGGTGGCTGTTCTTGATCTCTTCAGGGTCTGTACCTCCTGCCTGATCTGTACTCAGCATAGTCTGGCTCGCCTTGGAGTGTTGCTGGAATTATTCAGTTAAACAGTTCTGCAAACCCAGCGTAGTGGCGCGAGTCTGTAATCCCAGCACTAGGGAGCTGAGGCAGGAGGATGGACACAAGTTTGAGGCCAGCCTTGGCTACATAATGAGTTCAAGGCCAGCCTGAACTACATAGTGAGACCATGTCTCAATCCCCCCCCCCCAAAAGCTCTTCACGTCTCTTTCCTCTGACAATATAGAGTATCATTGAAAACCACGGATCTAGTTCTTTTGTATGAAGCTGAGATGGATAATGTTACCCAATTAACGACTTTTCCCAAGAGAAGGTAGTATCTTGAGAGAGATGTTGAGAAACTGGTTACTTAGATGCTTCTCAGGCTCCCTGAAGGGCTTGGTGGAATTTGTTGAGCTACAGGGATCTGCAAGGAAGGGAATGTAATGTTGTTATCTCTGCTATTTTTTTTTAATTTTTTTTCAGAAACAAGGGTCGAACTCAGGACCTTGTGCTTGCCAGGCAGGCACTGGTGCCACTGAGCTAAACCTCCGGCCCTATCTCTGTTATTTTTGAAATTCCCTTGTCCTAGTAGCTTGAGGCCTCTCACAAGGTACAATCTGAACCTGAACCCTGGGATCTTCCTGGTGGTCTTAGGAACCCCTGAGTTGATGTGTGAGGCCAAAAAGTTGTTAACTGAGCCATAGACAATCACTGAAGTGTAAAGGGCTTGAGAAGCTGATGAATTAATAAATTCTTGGCCATCCAGTCTCTCCCCTTTCCTTTGTCTAACCAAAAGCCTGTGGGTTTGGCAGCTCTGCTGTTATTGGCAGCACCAGTGCAGCTGTGGGCCTGCATGGAGAATCCAGTCCAGGGTAGATTCCTACTTCAGGGGATAAAAGTGAAGACAAAGGGCTTATAGTCCATTGCTCCTTCTCCTACCACCAGATGCAGAAACACATTTGCCATTATTATGCAGCGGATCGTTGTACAACCATTAGTAGGCCTACACCTTTGTCCATTATCTGGACAAGATCTTGTCACTTTTCCTCCATAACTTCCCTTTGCATCCCTTCCACAGCATTCATGTTGTAACATGGAATGTGGCCTCTGAAGTACCCCCTCTAGACCTCAGTGACCTGCTTCAGTTGAATGACCCAAACCTGAATCTGGACATATGTATCATTGGGTAGGTCACTACAGGGCCCTTTCACTCATCCTTCTAATCCTGTGGGAAACTTCTCTAACTTACCTTCCTTGCTGTGGAGTCAGAAGGCAGAGTGTTTTCAGCCTCTCTTGTCTTGCATCAGCAATGGCCAGAAATTGGATACCAGCAGCCAAACAGCTGGGGGAGGGAGAAATCATGGCCATCAGAACTAGGGTGAGAAAGTCTGGTGGGGGGCAGTACTAAATGTCTTTGGGAGAGGTGGTATTCTCCTCTGACCTGGGGTGGTCAGTTTGCAGGAAGTGAACTCTGGGATCATAAGCCTCCTTTCCAACACTGCCTTTGAAGACCCATGGAGCAGCTTCTTCATGGATGTGCTTTCCCCTCTGAGCTTCGTCAAGGTAACTTACAAGTTCGTGGGTGATGAAGAAAGTGTCCCCTCCACTGCCCTGCATTGTTTGGCTATGTGTTCCCCACACTCCCACTCAGCTATTCTTGCTGTTTCCCATTTATTAAAAGGTTTAAGGGCTGGGTATTTAGCTCAGTGGTTCTGTCGCCTGCCTCGCAAGTGCAAGGGCCCGAGTTTGATCCCCGGTACCAAAAAAAAAAAAAGCCATAGGATTCATTTAAAAAAAATAAAAGGTTTAAGCCTCACTCTGCCTGGCTTCTTGGGGCTCTTGCCTGCCTTGTGCCTTTCTAAGGTTTCTAGATCTAAGCTAGGACTGTAGGAGTTACTTTCACAGCTGTTTGTTATCTTGGGAGAATTCCTAGTGCAGGTGGAGCCAAGATTACTGACACCAGAGTACCTACTTCTGCCTCACCCTACAGTTTCTACTCACTGCCCAGCCTGAAATCTCTGAGTATAATAATTGCTACCACTTATGGAATGCTTATTTGATACTGAAGATTAAAAATAAACTTTTTTTTCCCTCCCCTGCACTGAAGGTTGAACTTAGGGCCTTAAGCATGCTAGACAAGTACTGTATCACTCAGGTACATCTCTAGCCCTTTTGTAGATTTTATTTTGAAGCAAGGTTTTCCTTAGTTGCCCAGGCTGGCCTTGAATTTGTGATCCTCCTACCTCAGCCATAAATAAACTTTTCACTTACATTATTTTAAAATCTTAACTCTCTTGAAATGGGGATATTTTGCAGATAAAACTAAGGTTCAGAAATCATATAGGCTATTTGGTATTTGAATCTACGTCTTTCAGACTTTATAGCCCTTTTCTTAAACTACTGTATTTTCTTGCTATACTAATTGTATAGCTTATTAGTGACCTGTAAGGCTTACAGATATCCCATGTCTAATATGTTGATATCAGAAGGTCTCCTCTGATCATAGAGGACATCCAGGTCAAATCTCTAGAGTTCAGGAGGTTAAGATAGGGAGCCAGGTATGGGGGTGCACACTTGTAATCTCAGCACTTGGGAGACTGAGGCAGGAGGATTGTGAATTTAAGTTGGGCTACATATGGAGTTCCAGGCCAGTCTCCAATATAGACCATGTCTGGTTTAAAAAAGAAAAATTGGCTGGGCATGGTGGGACACATTGTAATCTCAGCGCTCAGGAGGCTGAGGCAGAAGGATCACCACACATTCAAGGTCAGCCCTAACTACACAGCAATACCTTGTTTCAAAAAAATAAAAACAAAGTTAAAAAAAAAAAAAGAAAGGGAAGATGGGTATGGTGGAAAAGGTTCTTAACCTGAGGGACCAGTATACTTTGGTAAAACTTTAGACCTTAGTAGAATCCGCAGAATCCTCCATTTGCTGGGTCTTCTTGTTTCTGCTTCGTACTCTAAGGGATGAAATGTGTTCCTACTCACAGCACTTAGTTTATAACTTCTTGGAAATCCCAAAAATCTTTTTGTTTCTTCCCAGGTGACTTCTGTTCTTCATTTTGTTACCCAGGGCTAGACGTGTGGCTGAGTAGTAGAGTGGTAGCCTAGCATGCACAAAGCCCTGAGTTCAGTCCCCAGCACCTGGGTGGGGGCTTAATGCTGTTACCCTACTTTCCCTGAGGGTGCTGGAGCAAGACGTATACATGTTTGAAGGAGAAGAAGTAATATAAGATTTAGTCCTTGGTTCCGCAGCCTACCTCGCAAGTGCAAGTTCCCAAGTTCAATCCCCTGTACCAAAAAAAAACAGATTTAGTCCTCCTGCAGGAGGATTGCCACAAGTTTGAGTCCAGCCTGGGCTACCTAGTGAATTCAAGGCCAACTTGAAGCATACAGTGAGACCCAATATCAAAACAAAACAAAAAATCACCCCCCCAAAAAAGATTTAGTCCTCCTGCTGAGGCTAGAAAATGCCAGGCTCTGAGGTCTTGTTTGCTTCCTAATCAATCTCCGGCCTCTTCCTGTGGGCTTGGAGCTAAATCCTCATGGAGGGCTGAAACCACCTCTCTCACCATTCACTCCCTTCCCAACAGGCCTCCTTGTGCCTTGGCTAACTGGCAGGGCTTGGTAGGATGGAACTGAGCCAAGGAAATTAGCTCAGCTTGTGGTAGGGATACAACCCATTCCACCCAGGTGGCCTCCCAAGGTCAGGAGGCCTGCCTGAGGGCCAAGCACCCAGAATGGATGCCATGCCTTGCCCCAGCCAAGAATTGAGGTTCACAGGCAAGCCCTGTTTACGGCCTATTTGAGTAGAGTTTTGCCACCAATAGGTTGAGAAGCCTGGGCTGACCACTTTTGCTGTTCCAGGCCTTCCCACTACCTCCTGCCAGTTCCTTCTTTCACACCTCCTACTTCATTTCCTCTAACTGGAATTTCCCCTAAAGTCTCCTGTTTTTCCCCACACCCCCAAGCTTTCTCTCAGTCTGACTCTGTCATGCCCCCAAGCCCATCCTCCCTGCCCCTTACTTCCTCCTGTTCCTTGACAAAGTAGAATAGTCTTCAGGGTGCAGCCCAGTGCCCTAAAGCTGGCCTCTTGAGTTAAGATTAAGCTCAAATCTGTTCGTGTTTATCAGATGCCCGTCCTTACCGTGGGAGTCAGTCCCTCCTCGTGGGAGTCCAGCCCAAGTGGGGGTGGAGGGTGATGTTGAGGACATACTTGTAGCAACCTCTGGCCAACCTCTGGCCAACCTCAGGTTCTTAACGCACCCCTCCCCCAGCGCTGAGTTTGGGATTCCCCCCTGCTTTGACTTCCACTGTGCTAGGGTTCCTAGCCTGTGGGATCAAGTTTCATAATTCCTGGAAGGCCGCAGTACACTCCCCACCCGGGGATTTCCTCCTTGGCCTCTGCACCTCCTGCTCCGGAAACGACCACTTAGATGATGGGTGTAGACAGCCTGAACCTGAGAGAGGGTCACTGGCTGCAGCCCATTCCCACCCCACCCCACCCCCTGCAGCTGCAGATAGTGGCATTTTGGCAGTCCAAGAATAGGACTACTAGTTCCTTAGTCTCCCTGAGCCTCAGACCCACATCTGCAAAACAGACAGTGACTCTTTAGATGATTGATGAAAAGCTTAAGTGAGATCAAGTACTTTAGTAGATGTTAGTTATTCTCCCAGACCTGCAAACATACGTGCTTCATACTTTCTGTCATCCCCAATGCATTGCCTTCATGGACATTCAAATGCACACAGTCTAGTTACTTTTTGCGGGGGGGGGGGGGAGTGACCTTTTCTTTACTGTTTTCTCACTGAGGTAGAACGTGCAGAAAGGAAGTGTACATCTGGGTGTATATGCTTGGATGGTGGTACATGCTTAGATGCACTTGGGAGGCTGAGGCAGGAGGATTACAAGTTCAAAGCCAGTCTGGGAAAATTAGTGAGGCCCTATATCAAAATAAAAGGGGTGGGCTGGGGATGAAGTTCAGTAGTAGAGTGCTCACCTATTATGTGTGAGGCCCTGATTCTACCCCCAACATCTCCCCCAAAAGAAAAGTACAATCTGCCGGAGTTTTACACAATAATACATACCCATGTTACCATGAGTGAGGTAAAAATACAGAATGAAAAAAAATACAGAATGTTTCTATTATTCTAAATGTCTCTCTCTGTTCCCTCCCTGCATTTATGTACTTTTTTTTTTTTTTTTGTACCGGGGATAGAACTTGGGTCCTTGCGCTTACGCAGCAGGCGGCAAAACCACTGAGCTAAATCCCCGGCCCTCATTTATGTACTTTTAAGACCAGACAGTAGCCTATGCCTGTAATCCCAGCTACTTGGGACACTGAGGCAGGATGATTGCAAGTTTAAGGCCAGACTGGGCAACATAGCAAGGCCACATCTCAGGAAAAATAAAAAATAATTCTTGAACCAAAAAATAATAGCTATCAGTTCTTCCCAGCATCTGTGACATAGTATTATTGCTGCCCTATCAAGGAGACAATAGACTGAGATCCTTGCCAGTACCCAAGGATCTCAGGGCAGCATCAGTGAGAGGAGCACCTAGGCATGTGTACAGTTAGGACTGAAGAGTCGGTGCCCTAATAATGGCAGGAGTTCCTGGCAGCTTCGGCTTTTCTCCCTTCTACCCCCAAGCCCAACAGCAAAAAGTGAAACCTATGCTCCCAGAATGAACCTGCGGAATAGAAAGGAAAGGAGTAAAACTCTGAGATTCAAACTGGGGTACTGTAGACCCTGGGATAGGCGTTGCACGTGGCTTGGGCCTCCGCAGAGTGCCTAGCACCAGGCCTGGCAGGAGTACACTCAGCATGTGCAGTTCAGTGAATGACTTTTGACCTTGTTCTCCTACAGATCTCCCACGTCCGAATGCAGGGGCTCCTCTTAATGGTCTTTGTCAAGTACCAACATTTGCCCTTCATCCAGATCCTCTCTACAAAATCTACCCCTACTGGCCTCTACGGTTACTGGGTAAGGGTTGAGCTGGGAAGGGTGGGGAGCCTTAGAGCTGAGCAAAAGAAAGAAGAAATGAAATGAATCTTGGTACTCCATCTAACCCAGTACCTTGTGTACCCATTTTGCCTCAAAGAGGGATGGACATCCCTGAGACCCCAGACTGGGTGGACTGGGTACTGTACATGGAGAGCTTACCTTAGGAAGCTTTGTGTATCCCTGACAGATCCTGCTGAAAGTGAGACTACCTCCCTCAGGCCTGGGGAGGGGAAAGGTTCCAAGCTAGAGTAGCATACCACCCTTCTGTCCACCTGTCCCACCAGGGGAACAAAGGAGGAGTCAACATCTTCCTGAAACTTTATGGCTACTATGTCAGCATCATCAACTGCCACCTGCCTCCCCACATGGCCAACAATGATCAGCGGCTGGAGCACTTTGACCGGATCCTGGAAATGCAGAATTTTAAGGGACACGATGTCCCCAACATCCTGGACCATGAGTGAGCATGGAGCCGCAAAATGTCACCCTGCCCTATCTCCATGCCAACCCCATCTCTGTTTCCTAGCTAGTCAGTAGTGCTTTCTCTCCCACCCTGTCCCTAGGCCCTCCCCTGATGTCCCATCTACTGACCTACCCAGCTTTGCATGCCTGGGGTCCCTTTTCTTCAGTCCCTGTGTCCTGCCTAGAAACCCTGGATACTTCTAACCACCCCAGGTCAGGGACCTTGTGGTAAGCCACTCATGGTAGCACACACCTGTAATGCAAGCTACTCAGGAAGCTGAGGCAGGAAGATCATAAGTTTGAGACCTGCCTCTGCTACATAGCAAGACCCTGTCTTAAAAAACAAAATAATGTAATCCCACCACTTGGTAGCTGAGGCAGGAGGATTATTGTGAGTTCCAGGCCAGGCTGAACTACCGAGTGAGACCCTGTCTCAGAAAGCAAAACAAAACCAAACAAGCAGAAGAAAACCTGGGCCGGAGATTTAGCTCAGTGGCACTGGGCTTGCCTCAAAAGCTCAAGGTCCTCAGTTCAATCCCCGGTACCAAAAAGAGAAAACCTGTAGAAGGGTTATTTCTTAGTATGTGCTGGTGGCCACTTGAGAGGGAGGGAGGAAAGGAAGGCTATAGCTTGTTCTGTATTTTCCATATGCCCCTTTGAGCTGGTCCCTTCAGCCTGAATGATGGTATTGGAGCCATGAGAATAGTCCTGGACCCACGCATGTCCCGAGCCTCTGGCTTCTCACCTGCCCCCTTGAGCTTTCCACTCTCCAGAAGCCCTTGAATTGACCAAACCTGAGTTTCCTGTTGCTCCCCACTTCTCTGACCTCATCACACACCCTCAGGCTGCCTTCCTTTCTTTCTAAAGCCTCATTCTCTGGTTTGGAGACATGAACTTTCGGATCGAGGACTTTGGGTTGCACTTTGTTCGGGAATGCATAAAAAATCAGTGCTACAGTGACCTGTGGGAGAAGGATCAGGTACCAAGCAAAGAGAGGGTCCCAAGGGTGCCCTGAGCCCGCTATGGTGGTCCCTGTGAACAGCAGAGGGCATCCCTCGGGTTCCCAGGGCTGTTGTTTCCCCATGAGTAGGGAGGAAGTCTAGCTGGACTGGGGTGGGGCCGCTATCCTGCACATGTGCTCTCCAATAGGGAACCAGGAGGGCTTTGGCCTGCTGTGACCCCACTGCCCATCCACACCCCCTTGTGTCCTTGGCATCTTTGTCATCCCCAATCTTGTTCACCTTCTGAGGATGAGATGCCTTTTGGGGACCCTGGCTATTCAAAGCCTGTTCCCTATGGTCTAAGGACTGCCTGCCATTTGGCAGGCAGCTGCCTTCTCTGGGCCTTCTGGGTCACGTGTCCAGGATTCAGCTGCTGGCCGGGGTGGGGGTGGGGTAGGGGCGACTGAATGGACTGAGGCAGCACTGGGACAGTGAGAAAATGGAGTGTGGTCCTGGGTCAAGACTGGGGAAACAGGGACTCTGTTTTTATCTGCAGCTCACCATTGCCAAGACACATGACCCACTGCTCCGGGAGTTCCTGGAGGGCCCTCTGCACTTTCCACCCACTTACAAGTTTGATAAGAACTCCAACAACTATGACACCAGGTGAGAAGGAAATGGGTGCCCCAGAAATTGAGTTATGCTAGCCCTAGTGGCCATCAAAGCTGCTGCAGAGTAGTAGTAGAAACAGGAATAGATCCAGCCATCACCTCTCAGGAGTGGCATCTCCTGCTCCCTGCATGAAGTGCTGACTCTGGGAGCTGTCCTACATTGTCCTCAGAGCAGAAGGGGAGGCTGGTGCTAGCAAGGGAAGGGGGAGGGGTGGGGGGGTTCCTGACATAGTGGGGAAGGTGTGTCAGTATTCTGGGAACCCCTGCCCCATTTCCTAGGAACTTCTGGTCCCCAGTTAGGGGCAGAAAGCTTGGCTCAGGTGGTAACTGACAGTAAGTACCACTGCCCAGCCTGTGAGGCAGTCAGATACTATGTGCGACATGAAGAGGTAGTGGAGAATGTTATGGTGAACAAGGCGGAGACAGTGCAGTAAACCAGTCAGGTATGGTGATACACGTCTATTCCCAGCTATTTGGGAGACTGATGCTGGAGGTTCACTTGAGCCCAGGAGTCTGAGGCCAGCCTGGGCAACCTAGTGAGACCCTTTCTCAAAAACCAACAAAATCAGAAACAATCCATCTAATGCTGCCCTTCTTCAGCTATATAATCTTGGTCACAGTGTTTAATCTTCAGTGTTGCCATCTACAACATGGGGATGATAACACCTCATGGAGTGAGGATTGAATTGAGACCTTGAATGTGCTTAGCCCAAGTGCTCGGCACCCAGTAAGCATGGGTGATAACTGCAGTTCTTATTTATAATCTCAAGTGGTAGGCTGTTTTTTTGGTTTGTTTTATTTTTATTTTTGTTGTTTGGTTTAGGGGTTGGGGGGGATTGTTTTTGGTTTTTGTTTTTTGAGACAGGGTCTTGCTATGTAATTCAGGCTGGCCTTAAATTAACTATGTAGCCCAAGCTGGCCTCAAACTCGCTGCAATCCTCCTACGTCAGTCTCCCAAGTGCTGGGATTACAGGTGTCTGTACCACACCCAGTATCAGGTGGTAGTTTTACTGAAAACATTTCTAAGAAACTGAGGAGGAGCCAAGTAACCAAAACTTGAGGCTTACACAGAGAGTCAAAAGCAGCTTTGGCAACAGGTTCCTTACCCAATTTAGAGCATGGACCCTAGTCTCTTCGAAGAAAAGTAGAACCCCTTATGTTTTAGGGAGCTGCTAATTTCACCCAGATCAGCTTCTTCATTCTTTCTAGCAAGATTGTCTTATGAAAGAGGTGGGAGATGCTTATGGGATGTCTTCACAGCAGGACAGGGCAGAAGGCTGAACTGTAGGCTTGTTTCTGGAAATGGTATGGCAGAGCCAGAATGCACTTGCCAAGGAAAGAGAGAGAGGGCAGGCCATTTCAGGAGTGTGGAGCAAGATGGGATGGGGCCACAGCCAAGGCTGTCCACACAAGAGGAAGCAGTGAACACTGGAGACTTGATCTAGCCTAGGCAACAGAGCAGGCGGAAAAGGAGGTAAGAGGGCAGGCCCTGGCCACAGCTGCAGGGAGCCTGCCTGTCTCTACAGCCATCCATTGGAAATGAAAGTCAGCTGGGCTGTAAGTCCTCAGTGGAACTGGCCAGGGCCTTGGAGGCTGGAACTTCTACCACTGGATGCAAAACCTCAGTCACAGGGTGAAGATTAAGTCAGTAGTAGAGCCCTTGCCTGGCATGTGCAAGGCCCTGGGTTCAATCACCAGTACTACCAAAAAAAGAAAAAAGAGGGGGGAGGGACACCAAAAGAAAAAAGAAACCTCATTTGCCGTGTGGTCGGGAGTCCCTTTCTCACAGGGTACAACTGGGAGACTGCCAGTAGACTGTAAGTCCTTGAAGCCTTGAAGCAGCTGGGTCTGGGCTGCAGTTGGCAGAGTCTGACAAGGTCCATTGGGCCACAGATGGTAAAGGCTCAGGTGGCTCAGCTAGTGGTGAGCTGGGACTCAGACGCAGCTGGACTCTGTAGCACTTTCCTATAGCCTGTAGTGCCTCAGAATTCACAGCTAGGGGGTGGAGATGTAGTTCAGTAGTAGAGCACGTGTTTAGCCTGAGTGAGGCCCTGGATTTGATCCCCAGCACTGGAAGAAAAAAAAGGTTCGGGCCTGGGATTTAGCTCAGTGGTTTCGCTGCCTGCTGCGCAAGCGCAAGGACCCAAGTTCGATCCCCAGTACCAGAAAAAAAAACGGTTCACAATCACTCTTGCCTCGCTTACCATGTGCCTGGAATTGTACAAAAGACTTCATCTGCATCATTTCACTTAATTCTTAACATATCCTCATCAGGTAGATACTATTGTTACTGACTTAATGCAAATAAGAAAAATGAGTCTCAGGGATTGTCTAAGCTAGGTAGTAGCAGACTTTGGAACAGAGCAAGAATTTGAACCCAAGTTCTTCTGACTCCAGACCCATGAGCATTCACTGCTCCTTCCCCTTGCTTGAAACTGAGAGAATGAAGGACTGTCTGAGTAGAAACAGGGGAACCATAACTGAAATATTCCTGAAAAACAGAAACATCCCTGGGTAATCAAACTGTTAATTCATCTGAAACCCCACTTCAGACACTGTCTTTCCTCGGAAGCCTTTCTTAGTCGTCCTTCCCCATTTCACTGAGTTTGTCTCCTACCCTGTGCTGCCACCAGGCCTTGCACACATCATGTTCCAGTGGTGCTTTTAAGACTCACTGTGACTTTCTTGGTATACTATGAATGCCCTGAGGGCAGAAATTGGACCATCCCTAGTATGAAGGCAGTGTCTGGCATGTGTTTAAATTGGGAGCCTTAGAGGACAAAAAGAAAACTCATGATACTTAAACCAGTCTGGCATAGGGACCCACCCATGCAGTAAGATCCAAAGAAATGCTGTTGAGCTGGCTGGGGATTTAGCTCAGTGGTTCTGCTGCCTGCCTTGCAAGCACAAGGACCCGAGTTCGATCCCCAGCACCAAAAAAAAAAGAAAAACTGCTGAGTTGAGGAGAAGGAGGTTTCTAGAACTACAGAAGCACCAAAGGAGGTTGGCAGCTAAAGCCAGGAGAGCTCAATCAGATGCTTCAAGGAGAGTACCTTTTTTGGTTTGTGGTGCTGATGATTAAACCCAGGGCCTCTTGCATCACAGGCAAGCTCTCTACTGCTAAGTTACACCCTACCCCAAAGAAAACATTGAGGAGGAAGCAGGGTTGGAGGGTAGAAGAGGGTCAGGCATTCCAGTCAGTCAGCAGCACTGACAAGAGGCACCTTGAGGGGAGCCTGACACAGCAGGGCCCCTGGCCTATCCAGTTGTACAAAGTGACTGTGGGCAATTGGTGTGCAGGGCATGGTGTGCAGCTTTGACCTGCCATTTCAGTATCCTTGAGCCAAGATGTAATGAGAACAAGGTCAGCTCCATTACAGGGGAGGGTGGAAGGACTAAAGGCAGGGAGGGAAATCCTGTTAGAGTCGGAGATTGCATTAGGGTTTGGTTACAGTCACCATTATAACACAGACGACCTCTTACTAGACAATGAATAGAAGGTATTATGATCAAATCTACTCAAGCTTTGTGTCCCAGAGACTTTTAAGTCCCTGATGGGTTAATTCTGGTCCAGAATTCTATTAGACATTTTGAAGCCATTTATAGGGAGCTAAAGAGAGAAGTGCTTTTGGACCCAGAAATTGAGTACATCATTACTTTGGGGTCAATAGATTGGTTCCAGGGCCGGGGATTTAGCTCAGTGGTTCTGCTGCTTGCCTTGCAAGCCCCAGGTCCTGAGTTCGATCTCTGGTACAAAAAAAAAAAAAAATAGATTGGCTCCAGGAGGGAAGACTATTTTTTTTTTGGTACCGGGGATTGAACTCAGGACCTTGTGCTTGTGAAGCAGCCACAATGCCACTGAGCTAAATCCCTGGCCCTGGAGACTCTTAACAGAATCTTACAGAGTTTAGCCAGGTGTGGGGGCACATGCCTATAAACCCAGCACCCAGGAGGCTGAGTCAGGAGGATCACCGCAAGTTCCAGGCCACCCTGAACTACATAGCGAGACCCTGTCTCAAACAACAAAATAAAAAAAAAAAAAGAATATTATAGAGTTAATTGGTTTTAACTTTTTGAAAGCAAAGGCATGTTCATTTATCTCAAAAACTGTAATGTACAGTATGCATGCATGTATTCTTTGCACTTGGGAGGCTGAGGCAGGAGGATCACTTGAGCCAAGAGTTAAGAGACTAGCTGGAGGAATATAGCCAGACTGGGGATAGCCAGACCAGGGGTGGGGGTGGGGGGGGTGGCAATCTCAGAAACATTTCCAAAAAGTGTTACTGAAGCTCTGTTCTCATGATGCAAACTATGGGACAGTTCTTGCTGCTTGAGCCAATTCAGCAGGGCTAGTTGGGGGCAGGTGGGAACAGGTGGGGGCAGGGGAGATAGTGGAGTACAGTGGAAGGGCCACAGGTTTCATAGACTGTGCTGGGCAAGCATCCAGCTTCCACCTGGACAGGATAGCGTCTATCAACTGCAGTTTCCTGCCCTAGAAGAAGAATGTGGCATGTAAGGCAGGATTGTTGTAAAGACTGAAACAGTCCCTGAGACACCTATCACAGGGCCTAGTACATAGGAGGACCCACTTTGTAGTTATTATGAATAATGGAAAAGTAGGAAAATGAGTATACACTGCTTTTTTGTTGTTCTAGGGATTAAACCCAGGGCCTTGGCCCTGAGCTGCATCTTCAGCCCTGTTTTTTTTTGGCACTGGGGATTGAACTCGGGACCCTGCGTTTTCGAGGCAGGCAACGGAACCACTGAGCTAAAACCCCGGCCCCATCCAGCCCTTTTTAAATTTTTGTTTTGAGACAGAGCCCTGCTAAATTGCCTAAGCTGGCCTATAACCTATAGTCCTCCTGCCTCAGCTTCCCAGAGTGCTGAGATTACAGGCATGAACCACCACACCTGGTTTATGCAGTTTTTTGAGATAGGGTCTTGCTGTTTATCCCAGGCTAGTCTCAAACTCATGCTCTTCCTGCCTCAGCCTCC